TATTATAATATAAATATAAAAAACATAACTATAAAATAAATGTTAATGTAACTAAACACCTAGAATTGACTTATTACTGCAATTCTTTCTAATAAATGCCCTTTACGTCCAGTTACAATACACGTTTCTGATTTTGGTATTCCAAAGATAAAGGATCGATTTACATCATTGAAAATAAAAAACCAGCAGGATTCAGTGGTAAAGAAAAATAGAGAGCGTTCTTAAAAAATCTGTTATAACTCAAAAATAGTATTCTAAAAAATTTCTTTGTGCATGTCAATGAATTTTGTATTAAAGCCGTGATTATCTTTTTAATAGCACAAAAGCCTATCAAGATTATGCACTTAGTTCGTGGAAAGTGGAAATATCCAAATAAGAATTCAATTTTTGAAAAAAAAAAAGTTTAATAATACCAAAGTTAGTTGATTAACGATTTTCAAATTTGGGAAGCTTTGCCCAAACATATAAACACAAATTAAATTTGACATTGTTAGAAATAAAACACTCAGATCAGAAATATCACAACTCATAAACAAACCGCAATTAACCATTTGCTAAATTAAATAAACATATTAGTTATTACGATTTAAAAACAATGTTATTGTTTATGAGCGATTTAATTGGGTCAAAGCGAATTGTTTTCTGCTGCAAATAGCAAAAAAAAACAACTGAAAATATCGGTTTACAAATGTTTTTTTCGTAATACATAGTGTTTAAAATAATTATGGATTTTTCTTTATATAAGCGGAACGCTCAAAAATAACAAATTAAAACTTACCATAACGTAGAACTATATGTGTAACCATCTGCAGTGTCTTAGTTTTTAGAGAAAAAGTACGCCACTGCTTTTTCAAAATTTGGTAAATAACGCAAATCAATGTAAAATTAAAACAGTGTGGGCACTACTTAAGTAAAGAAAGTTGTGTGTAGTTAATCGTAAAATTCAAGCTCACCAAAAATTCAAAAAATTAAGTTTTATGCTGTCATTATAAGACAAATACAGGGTGTGTCACGATTAATGGGACGGGAAGTAGACTTTGCTGAAATTTTTCCATATAGGTTGTTAAGTCTCCTCTGCCAATTTAAAATATTTTTAGGGCCGTTCGTTTCGAAAAGTAAGGACAACTTAAACGTTTGCAATGGGACAACTCGTATATCGTTAAATTTTTCTCACTTTTTGACTTAATACGCGTGAACCGAAAGTTTGAGCCTATATAAACCTTTTGTATTTTAATCCGTCGACACTGTCCATGGATAATGAAAACGTTTTTCATAATTTCAGTTTAATAATCTTCATCAATTTCAATTCATTTTTTTATCTCGTTAATGAAACATTTGTTTGTCAATGCTGCTTATATTTCTATTTTATGAAATTGGTTTGAATTATCAGTCAGAATAGTTGATAATAAACAAATACTCCATTTCGAAAAAAATGTATGGGGTGGGACGTTTATCTTGAGGCACTTATATCAGAAACTGTAGGGAATGGAGCCAACAGTTAAATACAAAAATTAATTGTAATGTTGTAAATACAGGGTGTTTCATTTTTCGTGGGCGAGTATCAACTTTCTTATCGTAAATGGAACGCCTGGTATATTACTTCATTTTTGAATTCTATAGAAAAGGTCTAGACATATTTTGTGTATAATGTCCAATACCTCAGTCTAACCGTTTCTGACATTTTTTATGCGAAGAATGACGTTTCCAAGACTTTCTTCATTCGGAAGCATTTATCGTGTCGCTCTAGTAATTTTTGTCGTAGACAAAGAACTCGAACAACGAATAAATTTAATACATAATAATACAGGAAACGCGAAAAATAAGATTAAAAATGAAATTAAAAAAATCGCCGAAAAACCTTTTTTTTTTAATGGAAACTACTCATTTTTATAATCTTGTCATATTTAGAATCAAAAATTAAGGCAATTTTATATAAAGTTGTATATGCCTAATATTTTTACTTTTTGAAATATTTCCTTTTAAACATTTTTCACAAATAATATGCTGTTGTAATATAAGTTCAATTAGTGTAAAGTGGCTACAAGAAAGGAACTGCCAAATTACAGTCAAAATTTCAGCTCTCTGAATACTCAAATAACCCAACAATAAGAATTTAAATTATCGCCAGTTTCAGCAGAAAAATATCGAAAATTATTAATATCTCAAAAACCGCCAAAGGCAGGAATAGGGAAATATTATTATCATCTTAAAATATCTAATGCTTCATCGTGACTGTTGTACGAAAAAAAAATGAATAAAAACGTTTTTTGAATTTAAATTAAACATTTTTTAATAAATTCGCTAGTAAAAATATACCGTAAGGAGCATTTCTGGAAAATTTCTTAATGAAACTCGTTTATAAAGAATTGAAAATAATAAATTGGTACAACCCAAACTTAATCATTAAAATTAGTTTAATCTGGAAATCTGTAGGTGTGTGAAGATATTTACGGAAAGTTTCATTCTTTTTGCTTTCTTTTGAATAAATAAATATCACCAGTCAAATTACCAAAGAATGGCAATAGAACTTAACACAGGAAACAGTTTACTTTGTTTTCCGCATACGGGTGGCGAAGCGATTTTCATATATAATAAATATTATTATATGTAACTAGCTACGAGGGCAGCGCCAAAATTTCCGGGCCTGAATATGAAAGAAACAAAGTAGAGTAACAATTTTTTTTTATTTTTAAATATGATCCCCCTTAACTTCAATACACTTATTACATCTCTTTATTAACAACTCAATCCCTTAAAAAATATATTCTTTTGGTTTGTTTGCAAAATGAGCTAAAACAGCCTCTTTTAACTCAACTTCGTCGTTAAACCGCGGTCCACGTAAGTCCTATTTTAAATATCCAAACAAATAATAGTCGATGGGGGCGATATCTGGACTATAGGGAGGACGATCTATCTATTACAACCCACACTCTAAAATGGCAGCTTGTGCAACACCAGCAGTATGGGCAGGTGCATTATCGTGCAAAAGACGCACGCCTCTGGTCAGTTTTCGTCGACGTTTTACAAGTATGCAGTCTCGCAATTTATGCAATAATGTTGCGTAATATTTACCATTGACAGTGGTGTTAGTTTCTTTAAAATCTATCAAAAGAATTCCTTCACAATCCCAAAAGATCGTGGCCATCACATTTTTTGTTGACTCTCAGACTCTGAATTTTCTTGGAGGTGCTTCACCCTTACGACGCCACTGCATTGATTCTTTTTTCGATAGAGGGTTATAATAAAGAACCATAGTTTCATCTCCCGTTACAATAGTTTCTATCACAGGCTTCGGTTCCGACCCACAGAGTTCCAAAAAAGACCGCGCACACTCGAGACGGCGTTGTTTTTGAATAGCCGAAAGGTTTTTAGGAACCCATCTTGCACTAACCTTATGCATACCTAAATGATCATGCAGGATTCGACGAACACTTGTATCAGAAAGCTTAGTAATTTCTGAGATTTATTTGACCTTTAAACGTCGATCACTCAATCCATCTCTTCCACAATCGCAACAATATCTTCCGTTATGACCTCCATTGGTCGACCAGTTCTTGAATCATCTTCAATGGACTCCTGCCCCATTCGAAAACGTTTTGCCCATTCTTTCACTACAGAATACGAAGGAGAACTTTGGCCGTACACATCATCCTGCCTTTCTTCAATAATTTTAGGTGCTAACCCTTCTTTTGTCAAAAACTTTATGACTGCCCTATACTGAATTTGCGACACGCCTTGTTTAAAATTCTGTCAATAAAAAACCAATTTGTCGCAAGACTTCATTTTTTTTTCGAAGCCTAGTAAGATATATATTTAAAAGAAGAAAAAGTTTTATCGTGATACTGGAGCTGCATCTATGTCAGGCAGGCAAGTTTTGGCGCTAACCTCATAGATATAGTTTTTGACCAATAATAAATATGTTCAATGTATTTTACAAGTATATTTATTAATGCAAGACGGCTATAAATCATAATTGAACTGTTAAACTTAGTAATCAAAATGGGCGTAGTACACCATGATAATTGTCAAAGTGACAGGTAGTTGACCTATCTGTGCCTTAGTGATTAAAATTGGAATTAAAGTTACTGTTCTGCAGTTGTCGGCAGAGTTCATTCTTGAAAATATCTAGTATTTCTGAACTCTTTGCTGAGAAAATGAAAGAATTATTATTCTCAATGTTGTCAAAGCCATTCACCACCAAAACTCAACTACGTTTCATACAGAAATCATACAATTGTAGCAAGTCATAAAAATACAATACATTAAAAAAAGAAAGTGGAACACATAAAAGAGAAAAAATCCTATCTTGTACACTACTTCATAAGGCATCAAGTTGGCAGTGTCCATGTATGCTCGTACTGAGTAAAAACAATGCCACTGTGGGTATGCTTTAACAGATTGTTTAAATTTTGGTCGTCTAAGCACTGATAGTAGATAAAAATGCAAGGAAGAAGCATCACTTTAAATTTTTGAAAATTAGATTGACATATATCCTATATTGGGAACGACACGAATGGCTTTCTTCTGCCTTCATAATTCAATAATATATACCCTTATTGGAGGATATCAGAGTCTGGCATAGTTACAGAAGACCTTATCTTCCAAGAGAAAGGGCGTCAACAGCGAGTGAAGATTATAATTTGGTGAGACATGCTTCAGGAATGCGAATATCCACAAAAACAGACTCCACGAATCTGGAGTGCGACCCAGAAAGAGCTATAAGATCACAGTTAAACCGAGTCCAAAATTTATACCACAACATGATAATACACAACCAAAAAACTCTGCAGACCTTAATCCTATTAAACACATCTGGAACTATCTTATGCTACTCATATAATTAGGAATTAATTTTTTGGAAAAAATACATAAATTTTTTTAAAATGACTTTATTTTAAAGGTTAATTTGTTTGTTAGAATGCTGTAGTGTTAAGGAGAATAAATTTTACTTTTAGGAAAATTTTGACTAGTCGTCAATAACAAACGCAATTTTGTTACAGACCTAGTTTTAAATAAGAAAAAACGAGATCCATCTAGCTGTCCCGTGTGTGGAATTAGCATATCACCAGGTGATTTCGAAAGTCACTTCATGCAAGAGTTAGAAAGGTTGTACAAGCTGAACGGAACAGGCATCGCAGCTTCGAGGAAAAGAAACAGACCAGAACCGGGAAGACCACCAGCCTTGCCAGGTGATAGTGGTCCCGAAGGACGTTGGGAAGTAGGCAAAGAGCGAATTGATAATTCCTCTGACTTGCTAACGCATTGAATGTTTACAGACTTTTCAGAGGATCAAAACCAATCGACAAGGACGACTAAGATTGAAGATCCGCAAGAGAAAAGCAGACGATGGCTGTCCTATTTGCACCGGACGACCTCATAGGACCCAAGAAGAATTAAATATGCACGTGGAGCAATGCTCCCGAAAAGTAATTTTCTACATTTATTAGTGAAAAGAGATATTGTGAATTTTTATTGTTTCAGAATCATAACGATGAAGATGAAACGGTAGACGTCGAAGGGGATTCCGAATTAGAAGAATGGCACGAGAGTCAACGAAGACGAACAACTTCATTGGTGGCTGCAGCAAGTAGAATAACAGAAGTTGACAATGAAGGTGATGATGTTGTAGTGGACGGAGATGAACCTGAAGACCACAGTTTCGGGCCTTCCCAATATTCCGAATCGGACGTAGTAATCAAGGAAAATAGCGAAAAAGATGGACTTCAGCAGTCTCAGGTAATGGATTTACAAAAACAACAAAATGTGATTTCAACACACTATCGAATTCCAGGTGGCAACGGTGAATTCTAGTGGCGATGTAGAGGTTAAATTAGAACGTCAAGGATCTCAGGTCCACGGTCAACAATGTGATAGTAATGTCAGTACTTCGGATGCTGAGCCCAGCAGTCGGGCTCAAATAATAGAAGAACTTAGAAATAGAATTAGGCAATTAGAAGCGGAAGGGGGAGAGTTAGCCAGCACTACCGAGTCCGTTGAGGAATATAAGTGTTTAATTTGTTTGGTAAGGGATTCAATTAATACAAGGAGTGTCATCGCCCGAATTCAAACATTAACACTTTAATGAGCTAGAAACACCATTTTCTTTCTTGAATTTGCGTGTTATTATAAGGATTCCACCACCACTACAATGATTACACCCAACCCGTTCAATAAAAAACTTATTGAAATGTAATTTAGACCAAGCCACGTGCCAATTGCACTTCTTTTTAAAAATATTTTCAACTTCTGTCACTTCCGCTTCAACCGGAAGTTGCTGTTGTCGATTTGCTTATTTCAAATGGAGCACTCCGTATATTATTACATTTTGAGATTCTTTGTGAAATTCTAAACATATCTTATGTCTAATGTGCTATACCTATATCTAACCAACTTTAAATATTTTTGTAATTTCTGTAAATTTTGTCTTCATTCATATTTAGCAAAATGAAAAAAAAACAGAGGCTTAAATCCACGTTTTTGTTATTGTTGCTCTCTACTTTTATACAGGGTGACCACAAACATTCGCATTTTCAAAGCGGCTAAACTCGTTTAAATGAGACAGCCTATAACTTTAAGTGTTACCAAATCCAAGTACAAATATTGTGTTCTGTTGTCAAACATGACAACTAATAATTAGTATAGTAATAATACTGATCATAATAGTAATAATTGTTTTTTGATAGCCAAGTATGTGAACGGAAAAAAACTAATTTTTGCGAATATATCCTGGACTTAATTACATTTAAAGTTACAGGGTGTTTGAAAAAAACAAGTTTAGCGACAATGAAAATGTGAATATTAAATATTACAATGAAAATGACAAAAATGTCAACGACTCTTTTTTTGCGTTTTGCCAATTATAACAATTAAATTTTCAAAAATTACAAAAATACGCACTTTCAAAGTTGATTAAGCTGAAGGGACATTTTTTTTTTCAAGGTCATATATTTCGAAAACAGCTAGATATAGGTATAGGACTTTATACATAAGATATGTTTAGAATTTCACACAGAATCTCAAAATGTAATAATATACGGAATGATCCATTTAAAATAAGCAAGTTGACAGATTCTTTTAAGCAATGGGTTGGGTGTAAAACCGTGTATATCAGCTCGCAAAGTGTAAGTCGGTTCTTTTTAGGAACATTACAAGAAACCAGTCATATCAACAGTCTGTTGGCACGTCCATTGCGAAGAGTGCTGGTTGCATACTTTGGTGAGTCGTTTCTTAGTATATTGAACCTGAGATGAAACTGAACGTTGTATTTTACAGGGCAGCAAGAAAGTATGTCCCCAATGTAGCATGATTACGTCACCCACAGACCTTAGACGCATATTTATGTAAACCTCAAATATTTATTAGAAAATGTTCAATTTCTCAAACGTGTCGAAACAGTATTTTTACCAAAACTGAATTTCAATGCTTAAACTAAACGTATCCGGTGTGTAATAAAATTCCGCACGTCATAGATAAATTGTAAGATAAAAAAAGCACTAACTTATTTATATCTGTATATGTATACCTACTGTCGGCTATATGACAGCCCCGTATATTACTAATGAAAGTATAACAATAAGTAAGTAAGTAATCCAAAAGATTTTGCTGTGTAATGCGGGGCAAAGAAAAATTAAATTTTACTCAAACAGGGAAAAAAATACGACAATTCCATTTCTCAAACGAATTATTAATCTAATACTTGTAAGTATATACTACTTCCCAATATACATGTAGTGTAATTAAAAACTTTTAACATCTGTTGCCGAACAATGTTTCATATATTATATATTATATATTATCACTGCAGTTAATCGTATACAGTATCAACAATCCCCTAAACCACTTTGTTCTAGATACTTAGTGCCAAAAATACTTTCTTCTGAAAAGTCAATTTGGGCATTATTAGCGTACCACATTGACTGACCGGTCACATAAATAAGACGAAGTTGCCACACGAATTGTCATTTGTTTAAATTATAGAAAAAGCTATTAAATTTGTTGATTATTTGTTATGATAATTTAACGTTGTAGTCATATTTTTATTATTATAAGGTGTGTTCATCGTTATTTAGTTTGCGAGCCGGTCCCAAGCCAATTTGAAATTATACATTTCGCAATTTCAACGCGATGAATACATTTTACCGCAAACTAATATAATTGTAACATATTATTGTTTGTTCTGTTTGTAAATTTTCCTTAAATTATTAAACAAACTGTATTATAAACTCGGTGTACATTTCTTGTAGATATTATAATATAAATATAAAAAACTTACATAAAAAATAAATGTGGATTTAACTAAACACCTACAATTGCCTTATTACTGCAATTCCTTCAAATAAATACCCTTAACGTCCATTTACAATACAAGTTTCTAACTATGGTATTACAAATTGAAATACAAATACAAATTGAAATACATAATTGAAAACAAAAAATCAGCACCATTCAATGGTATGTGTTGGTTATAACTAATTATATAACTATCAACTAACAAATTTCTTTGTGCATTCACTTATTTTCTTATTTTCTCAAATTTGGGAAGCACTGCCCAAACATATAAACACAAATTAAATTCGACGTTGTTATAAATAAAACACTCAGAGCAGAAATATCACAACTCATAAACTAACGGCCATTAACCATGTGCTAAATTAAATAAACGTATCAGTTATTACGATTTAAAAGCAATGTTATTGTTTTTGAGCGATTTAATTGGGTCAAAGCGAATTGTTTTCTGCTGCAAAAAGCAAAAAAAAAAACAACTTAAAATAATTTTAAAAAATCATATGAATATAGGTTTGCAAGTGTTTATTTCGTAATACAGAGTGTTTAAAGTAACTATAGATTTTTATTTATATAAGCGGAACGCTAAAAGATAAATTCAAACTTACAATAACGTAGAAATATATGTGTTTCTTAGTTCTTAGAGAAAAAGTACGCCACTGCTTCTACAAAATTTGGTAAATAACGCAAATCAATATAAAATTAAAACAGCTGTTGGCATATTTTTATGTTACAAATAGTTTTTGAAATAATTAGCAATTTCCCTTTTGATGGTTACAGAGGTGTACTGCAGATTGCAGCAACTTATCAATACAACAAATTTTATCTTTACGCAATGATATGAAGAGGATTCAAATATTCATGGGTGTTTTAACACCACACTTATATATCTATATTTTTCCTTTTTATTATAGCATTTGGTTTCTAGTACGCATATAATTTCTTAGATTTTTTTTTCAGAAAGGGGGCCAGAAATACACTGCATACTATAGAACCCTTTCTCAGTGAAAAGTACGTTGTAAAAGGGATAAAAGTCCCAAAATTGGATACTATTGCCATTATTGATTGAATAGGTGCTAGAAAGTGACCAAAGCGCTTGAAAAACGCAAAACAGTTTCCCAAACTAATTAAGCTTCAATTGCTTCTTAAAACTTGAATTTTGGGAGTATTTGAGTATTTGAAATAAGTATTTTTGGAAGAACAAGATCAAACTAAGAATTTTATGCTACGGCTAGAAAATGTTTGCTTATTTTGTAGTGTTATTTAGAGGTTTTTATACGTGACAAAGAAATACAGTATATTAATTTCTAATATTTAAATTATTTCTAAGCATTTATCACAAATTTTATTAAACAATGTACAATCACCCTCTAATTTCATATTTTCACTAAAAATATGTTGTATGTAAAAATAAATAAACAAAGTCTCTCGTACAAATATAAACAATTCTGTCGGTACCTATTTTGTAGGAACAATGTCATTACGATTTAAGTAAATAGAATTTTCTCAACGCATAATCCCCATTACATGAACTACCAACAAACGGCCTTATTGTTTCGTTATCTGCTGTTTTTACGACAATAAAAATTTATAAATATTTACTTAACAACTATCGTTTATTTAGAAGTATTCTTATGTTTCTGATAATTTTTCCCTATGTATGTAATGTGCCTGAACGCTAGACATTTAGATTAATAAATGCAGAGCAGAGTTAACGTAGTCTCAATGCGTTTATTTACTAAATATCCGGAGTGGCTTGTTCTATTCGACACTTGAAATGGCCGAGTTGCGGCCATATTTCTATTTAAACTTTGATGCGCGCAATTTTTTCAAGAGGATTAAACGGTTATTTAAAATGAAAAAATCACCGAAAAGGAAAGGGTATCACAAATTTCTGTCAGAAGACGAACAAAGGTAAGTGAAGCGGATAGAAAATTGTATGCGAATTAGGTATAAATCTGATAAATTCCTGTTATTTGTTACTTTGTAGATTTATTTTTTTACAATATTTTAGGTGGCTAGACCAATACAATTCTTGGCATAGTCCTCAACTGCATTTGCCGACCGGCATTGGAATACCCTACTAGAGCACTGAAAACCGGAAAACCACATATTTAAAAATTTGAAAGGAAACACTACTGAAAACAATCATGTAGGTGCTGTTTAAACATATATTGAAAAATACCGCGAGTATATAGTGTATTTTATAAATAAATATTAACCAAATGTAATGAATCTCTCCTTTTTTGTATTTACGTAGGCTGGTAAACACACTGGCGGAAATGGCCCAGTTGATAGGGTAATATAGTATGGCAAAACAAATTACAAATATTTAAATCATTCAAAATATCAGGCAAATGTCATTCAATTAAATCTAACAGTCAGCTCCATCTGTGTTCAAGCAGTCCAACCCGCAAATATTCTGTATCCTTGATCTACATCAATTCTCTTATTTTGAACTATGAGAGTTTATTTTGACAGTTTGTTCTATGCTTCGTATTGCAAAAAGTAAAATAAGTGTTGTTATAAACAAATAACTGTTAGGCTTCGGATGGAATTGAGAAAATATTTTTAAAATGTTGAAAATATATGAGAAACATGTAAGTCTTACTGTTATTAATCGGATAAATGTAAGACTTTGCTTAAATTTGATATTGAAGACTTGAAGGTATTCCAAAACAATACAAATTTATTTTTGTCTTGTATCTTTGTGCTTCTGCATCTTATTTAGTCTCGTGACTTGCTGTTGCTCTTATAATTTGAATTAAATACGTATTACCATAAAATCTTTATATGCTGATTAAATCACGTGAGTTGTATAGCGACCACAACAGTTACATGGGAAATTGGAAATAAAAAAATTAAATCATATTTTTATGTTTAGTAGCTAAATTTTATTATCGTACGACAAAACCAAAGAGTCTCAATCCTTTTTAATTTATATATATATATATATATATATATATATATATATATATATATATATATATATATATATATATATATATATATATATATATATATATATATATATATATATATGTGTGTACACCATTTCTATAAAGCAGTTCTCATTCTAATTATTAAGTTAGATAATATTATAGTAGTTTTGTTAATGCATATAGATAACATTAAAATTATTGCAATGCGGTTCCCAAAGTTTATAAAAGTAAATCTGCTAATTACTTCTGTTAATTATATAATATGACCTTTTAATTAATTAAATGATTTATTTTGGAGCATAAGCATCTTTTTGATTAGATTTAGGCTACGGATGGATCAATATTTTATGTATTAAATTATTCTTAATCTCTGGGGAAGTTACCACGCACATTGGAAATTCATGCAATAAAAGTGCTATTACACAAGTATTTTCTTGTTAAAACCATGAGTAAATATAAATATTAAACAAATAAATATTAAATGTATGTTTAAATCACCTAGCTGGGAAATTCTGATTCAATTGTAATTGGCGATTAAACTAAACGCCAGTCAGTCCTCCCTTGGTAGTTTTATTTCATTATTGTTTTTGTTTTTTCTTCTAGGTCAATTAAAAGTAGACATGTGATATAATGAGCAACGGACGTAGCCAGCTTTGGCGACGTCGAAGTAGTACAACATGGATTCGAGCTGGTTTGATATTATTTGTAGTAATATTTGTATGGGTTCAAGTAAATTTCTTGGATTTTGGTACATCCCAGTCACCATATTCGGAAATAAATGACTCTCAAGCAGCTATACTTAGCATGGTTCCCGCTGTTTTGCACAAATTTTTATCACCGCAGCCTAAAAATTTTACAGTCATAGGTCCAAACGGAACCTACAGTAACATAGGTTATTTCAAGACTATACTCAACATTTCAGAAATCAAACGAAATATAGCACAATATAATCAGCAACAACTTGTTTACAACGAAGATACTTTTGGACCTCTGCAGAACGACTCTATAGTTATTGTTGTACAGGTAAACTAATGCTAAAATTTAATGAAATTTATATCTGTTTTTGTTAACTTTAGATTCATGATCGAATAACATATTTGAGGCACCTCATTGTGAGTCTTGCACAAGCCCGAGATATTTCACAGGCATTGATTGTCTTCTCTCATGATTACTATGATGAAGAAATAAATAGCTTGGTACAGAGCATAGATTTTTGCAAGATTATACAGATATTTTATCCATTTTCCATACAAACTCATCCCCGCGAGTTTCCCGGTGAGGATCCCGCTGACTGCCCAAGAGATATTAAAAAAGAAAAGTATATTGAGAATTACAAAACATTTTCTGTGCACTGCACAGTTTTTTTTATTTTAGGGCATTGCAAAACAAATGCAATAACGCCTTGTATCCAGACCTATATGGTCACTATCGAGAAGCAAAGTTTACTCAAACAAAGCATCACTGGTGGTGGAAAGTGAATCATGTGTTCAATCAACTAGAGGCCACGAGAAATCACACCGGACTAGTGTTATTTTTAGAAGAGGATCATTATGTTGCTCAAGATTTTATACATGTTTTAAAACTTATGGAAAAAACTTGCAGGGAGGCTTGTAGGCATTGCAATATTTTATCTCTAGGAACATATTTAAAAACTTACAATTACTATGGTGACTCAAAAAAGGTAAGATATATTGGTTCAGTTATAAATTTAAACTGATGTTTGTGAAGCACTATCATAAGTATGAAGATAAATCGAAACACTCGCACATCTCTATGGCTCTAATCTGCCTTAAAGAACATCCTAATTTTAAAATGTTCTTTTCTATTTCTAAAACTATCATTATTGAGATTAAAGCATCAAATTACATTATAAATTACAGAAAGAAGCTTTGCGCGCTCTCAAAGAGCAATCGGTAAAACAGTTGGGCCAGATTCAGCCATCATGGACTTTTCAGGTGTTACCGTCTTTGTATCAGCACTCGCAAAAGGTAGCTTTTTGCCTGCTTTCATTCTGCTTGATGTGATGTGGAAGATTGATTTGGTTCTGTGGAAAATCGTTTCTTTTTGCATTTTACTTCAAAATACTAAAAAATGCATTTTTTAAAGTAAAATTGTCTTGTTATACAAGAAACCTTTCTAAAGCGAGGTCCGTTTTGGCGAGATTTTGTTTTGTGTGTTTTTTCAACCATTCAAAAGTTGAGGACTTGAAGATTATGCTACTACTTACAACTGGTAGTTTATCAAGGAACCTGAGAAAAATGCATGTATATATGATGAATTGTTTGTGATTTTGTAAAGTGAATTCTGCGCTTGCTTAATAAGGTTGAACTATACTTAAAATACAATGGAATGATAAATTTGATGTAACTTAGTCAAGATTAAGTGCATATAAGACATGTATATAAACCGTTTTTATGTATGTGGTCCAACTGTGTGGAACTATAACAATACCTAAGACTGAATTCAATTCAAATGGCATGGTAGCAATGTAGAATATATAAATTCAACATAACACATCAGTGATAATTATGATTTAAAATACATGACCATGCAAGGATGTTTCAAAAAAAAAAATCGAAGGCCTAAATATTTTCGATAAGCAAAAATGTTTTTTTTGCCAACGATAAGAAGTTTAAGGGTAACAGGCAAAATGAAATCATAATAATTGTGGATGCAAAATTATTTGAAATTTAAAAAACGAAGAGGTGATATCACCGCATAATTTTTAATGATCAATCTTAACGTTAAATATTTGTTTTTTAATCTTTTTGTATCGTAAGATCAATTTAATTTCTAGGACAATGTCACGTGGACTTTTAAAAATATTGTCACATTATTGTTACATATTGTCTTTACTAATGTTTGTGTTGCAGGTAGAAATTACTCCCTGGATAAGCAGCAAACATAATATGGGAATGGCGTTCAACCGAAGTACTTGGAATGAAATTGTGAAATGTGCGGCTTATTTTTGCAAATATGACGATTACAATTGGGACTGGTCTCTACAACACATCTCGCAGAACTGTTTGAAACAAAAACTACACGCGATGGTGGCTAGAGGGCCGAGGGTCTTCCATATTGGAGAATGGTAAGCATTTTTCTCAAAATGTCCGATATATGGGATTTTCCATGTTTGAATTTTTAGCGGTGTACACCATAAAAAAAATAACTGTGCGTCGACGTCTGTAATATCCAAAGTACAACAAGTGCTGAAATCAGCAAAAAGACATCTGTACCCAGATTACTTAATACTCACTTATACTACAGTTCTGAAGAAAAGTAAGCTAAGAAAAGGGAATGGCGGATGGGGGGACCATCGTGATCATAAATTATGTATGAGTATGACCATAAGATAAACGTTAAACTGTATTTTATTTTGGCTCTTCAAATTTGTACTGTTTCTAAATACTTCTGTATTATTTTTGAATAGGAAGTGAAAACCCCACTATTTCAATGAATAAGTGATATTTGATAAAGGTGTGTCAGTTTTATTCTAGCTTTAATTCGATACGAAATGCATAAAGGCTTCTGTGAAAAGGTGAGCTTCCAGAGGTAAACAGGAAATCAACGGTCTAGGTTTAAGTTTTGTTATTATTTATGTTTGTTATATACAAATTCGTGTAAAGTTGAGTTAAAAACCATATGAAAAATTTGATCTTTCCCTTATTATTTAAATAATAGATATTAGAATGTAAAATTTAACTGAACCTTACTGAATAATTTTTTTCTAGTCCATTGTTAAAGAGTCTAAAAAATAATTTTTAGTTGTGCGTTTATTTATTTATGTTGGTTCTGTTATTAAAATATGTGATATTTTGTATTTGTTGCCTAAGGTATGTTTTTTTTTATTAATTATAATTTTATGAAATTATGATTGGTAATTGAGCGCTAGTTTACTCGAGTCAATTAGAATTTGAATCTCTCTTTGGCAATGTTGTGGTGGCTGAACCATAACTTTGCAATATTTGCACATTGCACACTTATTTTTTATTTAATAACACTGCTCTTCTTACCTCTTAAGCCTATCAAATAGGTTTTTATATGTCAGAACCCATAATATTCAAAATTAATTGCTTTTATTTTTTATAAATCGTGTACGGGCATTTTTCCATAAGCAAAATAAAAAAAAATCATAGGAAAATAAGTTGTTTTTTTATTATATAATCTCCTGTATGGGTGTATTGACATGATTTAGAATTTCAGGAGGATGATAGAAGTGGAAAAATGAAAGTAAAAGATTTAACGTGAAAAATGTATTAGAAATAATTTAAGAAGTATTACAGATGGGTACGATAGAAATAATCATAACCGGCTTTCAACAAAAATTGGAAATTTTTATTACTATTCAGTTGTGCTAGTGCTGGATCGTCCACTAATACTTCTATGGGCGGAAGAACATTATGTGGATTATCCCCTAAAAAAATTGCTAGACAATTAAACAACTCAATTTCAATAGTGTTCCCAATTACCCAAGTTTGCACATAAATTGGCCAACTTAAAAAATATGGTGTTTTGAATATATTGCAATGGTGAATCTAAAGTTGGAGTATTCCAGAAATCACGCAACAACGCTGCCCGCCAAATCTGAAGAACATAAAACAACTCGGGCATATAACACTTCATTTAAAAAGTAAACAATACCTTCAAGCTGGCTTCCGATTTTTCTTCTTCAGTTTCGAGAAATTTGATAATGCTAAGAGCCCTTTTGTAGTCAAGTTCATTGGAATCTGAATACTCTATACAAGTATAAAGGGCTATCATTTCACGAGGTGCAATTACGATTGGATTCATAGGGTCATAGCCATATTTCTGCAATACATAGTCCGGTATATATTCCTGCAACGAGACCAGTTCCAGCTGGTCATCGATTTCAGAAATAAAATCGTTGTCGTCTTCAGGGGCTAAAAAGTTTTTAATATAATTGACCCTATATACAAAACATGAACACAACAATAAAGGTCACTCTCATGGCACTTGGTGACAACAACCACGGACGCGAGCGAAACTAGGTGCATTTACGAACAAATTGGATTAAAAAACCAAGCTAACCTGCGAGTTTGGCCAGCTTGCATAAGGACAAAACAGTCTTTTTGCGCTTCAGTGACTGGGATACGCGTTGACTCAAACACTGAAGGGTTTCTGCTGCTGCAGAAAAATCTTTGTCATAGATTTGCTGTACCCAAAGTAAGGATGGATGTTCGTCCAAGAACCGACGTAACTCATATTCTACAGCTGCATCACCATGAGTGGGATTCCTGTTTAAAATTTCCAGAGATAAATAAAAGCCGCGGCAACAAATTTGCCAAAAACGTTACTTATTGAGGATTTTCTCATGTTTTCCTTCTTTGAGATACCAGTTAAGCATATGTTCCATAAAATCGCTATCAACAAAACGTCGTTTGTATTCTTCTAATCTTTCTTCGTTATTAGTTAATTCGCATATTGCTACCAACATTTCATAATCTAAATATTTCTCTGCCAACATTGCCGCTTGTTCCCAAGCTTGTTCTTCAACTAAAAAAGTCTCGTAAAACTTTAAGATTTGAATGAAAATTCCTTTACCAAATGGTTTGATCAGCTTAGTACGACAATTAGTGAATTGTTTGCGAAGCACTGCTTGCGCGTTCCGGTCGTTTAAACTCTCCAAATGCGAATTTTTACCATCCAAAATTAAATCCGTTATAGTCACCAAATCTTTTAATAATTTATTCTTCAACTGTTTTCTTGCGACTTTTACGCCATAATTTACGGTTAGCGAATACTGAAAAGCATGAAATAAAAAAATAACAGACTTACATCTCAATTAATATAAACGATAATGGCGTTATAATTTTTTTTATATACTCATTTAAAATATATATCGGGAAGTTTGAACTACCATTAGCACTGGTGGTTTTGAAAAGAAGTACGTAAAGAAAATCAGGCGTTGAAACATCACTTCTGAGGAAGAAAGGCATTGGAAAACCTTGCCTTCAAGAGGCCTAGATTAACTCAAATGGCAACATGGCCTGAGATGTATAATTGGTAATTATACTGATGACTTTTGTTGTCTGTCAAACAGGTATCTTCAGTATAATATTTACCTGTAACATGAGAGCGTCCATTAAGCCCTCAGGACCTTCGGCTGCTGTCCACGGTAAATACTGCAATTGCATATCACTAGCTAGTTGATTGACTATAAATAACTCAGCATTTTGTTGCCTGTACTGCAGAATTTCTTGAAATACCGACTAAAAAATACGATTTTTACTTTTTCCAAAGCCTTGATATAAAATTTTGTTCATAATTTACCGTAATAATTTCGTTAGCCTCGTGTATAATTTCAGCAACATCAGCTGGGCTCATTGCAGAGTGACAAATATCCTTGCATACTTTCGATAAACATAGAATAACTTCGTTAACTCGACTGATTTCCCTAAAGAAAATATCCTGCGTTGTTAGTAATTTATTGGATCTTCCTGCAAAGTTTTTAACCACTCTTTGTAGAGCTTTCTCCAATAACTCACTAGCGCTTTTAAGTTTCAGTACCTCTGCAGCCATGATTTTTTCCGAATATTCAGCTAAAACGGTTTGAAGAAAAATTCTCTTTCTATAACATTGAAATCTATCTAGGCCCACCTAAAGCATGAACTGTTGTCACAGGCATATCCCTAATGATCACTGCTCCAAACCTGTCCCACAAGCCCGCTTCCCGAAGAAACTTCATAAACAAATTGTAGGCCTTCTGCTTATCACGAATTTGATGCAGCACCTGCATGGAGTGGGAACTTCCTAAAATTTGTATTACACTACCTAAGCATGGTATAGAGACACCAGAAGCATACCCAAACCCTGAGCCGGGCAACTTTCATCCCTATTGTTCCAGCGTGGATCCGCTGCTGGTGTGTCATCCAACATCTCTTTGCTCATTTGCAGTACCACTAAGTCCAACGGAGCATCTATCCCTGCTAAGGTAGCCATGTCGCTGGCAAATAGACTATTGACAATCTCTAGGCATTCAGTCTAAAAATATAATAAAAGTAATAAATTTTCAAGTAAATCATTCATTATTTCTTACCAGCTGGCTTTTAACGTGAAATATAAATGCCGCTTTCAGTTGACTAGCAGTGTCTTTATGAGCGCTACATATTTCATCGGCATTCATTTGGTAAACGGAAAGATTACTTGGCGACGTGAGACAGGTTTCGCAGGAGGAGGATGAGTCCAAATTCGAAGCAGATGTGGCAAATGAGAGATTCATGTTATTTTCTATTTTGGAAACAGTAATAAGACCGTGCTGTTTAGAAAGGAATACCGGAATATCATCACACACTGTAGCGCCTAAAATAAAACATTGTACTAAAAGATTTGCAAAAATAAACATTTTAATTTACCATAGATTTGATCTTGGGAGTGGTGGAATTCTAAAGTATCCGCTGGTTCTTGCATTTTTATAACAGATATACTTTTAGAGTTATATAAATAAACCGTATTTCCGCATAAAATAAATTTATATGATAAAATTTCTGTTGGATTTTCTTCGTTGTAAAGATTGGATAATTCAAGCAATATAAAATTTCTAATTTGTATACTAGTTGATGTTATTGGCACAGAAATCAAAACGTAATACACCTGAAAAACATAAGAAAAATTATAGATTACTCGGAAGGAATTAAATACATAGATATACCGAAGAGCACAGTACTAGGACTGATAGTTTCCAATCTATAAATTATGGGACTGACATTGAAAGTATAATAGAACTACTAGGACAGCAGAGAACAGACACACAATATTTGGGATTTACATTGTATATGTTGCCTCTTAAGTAAGATAAATCAAATAAGTAGATTTAAGAACCTTATATTTGCACATTTCAACTTATAACATAATACCTGTGGTGAAAAGTGTAAGTTGACACTGGCCGTGAGCAAAAGTATGCTGTCAGCATCTTCCTGTATATCAAGTATCCAAACATCGATATCTGCTGGATCACATGAATCCCAGTGAGAAATTTGTGAACGATAGCCATCTCGAACAATCGGCCCTATGTCACTAGACAATACAAGATTTTCTTCATTATGTTCTGATAAAATCCACTTTTGCAAAGTACTCCCAGCCAGAACATAAACTGTGCAAAGTTTTGGAGCATTTGGAATGGCTAGAAGTCTTATTATCCGCTGCAATCGATTTGAATTTACTTTGTGATAGACGAAATTAGCAGAATTTTATGTGCTTTAACACATACCTACTAACGGTTTTAACCAATTATTTACAAAAGAAAAATATATTTATGTAAATATTTGCCAAACTAACCAAAACTTACCGTTTCTGTACCTTGATAAGTTGCCATTGGACCAAAAAATATTGAAGAGACTCTCCTGCTTACCCCCCCAAGCCAACTAAGTTGTGTTCTTAACGTGTCACATACAATATCTGGTCCATAATTTCCCGGTTTTACTTTGGCCAAAACAACTGTGCATGTAGTTGTAACAATAATACAACCCAAACCCTGCACATTTATTAAGCTATCACATTCTTGACCTTGCAGTTCAACATGTTGGTCCACAGACACATGTTCTTGAGAAATATCGGGCCAGTAACGTATCATTCCTGTTAAAAAATTATTTCACATTTTACAATCTGTAATAGCTATAGACAGGGCTTTTTTGTGGAAAGGAAATTTCAAAAATATAGCCAAAAGTGTCATAAAAACTGAAAAAAATGAAAGAAATTGAAAAAAAAATCAGGTTTGGTGACCTGTAAAACATTTTTGGATTTTTTTTAAATAGCTTTAAAAATGTATGTAAATACCTTAGCCTAACTAAATTGACGCCGAAAGTTGCTTTTCTTATATTGTTACTTACCCAAAAATTAAAAAAAAAATGGACCTTTCCCTTAAAACACTAGCAAGGGATGAAGAAGGGGTACAAAAATTATTTTCTCGGGACTTTCGAGAACAAGCATGCCCCCAAGAAAAGAAGTGACAAAAAAGACCTGTCTATACATAATTTTAACAGGTACACAAAAAATACCTTCAGGTGAAACTGCGATGCAGCAAAATGAATCTTTATTTTCAAATATTGTCACTAGTTCAGCTCTATGGGCCAAATCACTCTGAGGCAACTGCAATTCATAACACCGTGGAAATAGTTTTTGTTTTGATGATGGATTGCTTCTGTTAACATTATGGCTAAATTGCCAAATATATAGCTTTCTACTGCACACCACCCAAGCATATGAACCTTCTAACCGTGCAGTTATAACGGAGTTTCCTAAATTTAACAAATCCAATATTAATTTTAATTCAGCAATACCACTTACTTTCAGAAAATGCAAATGCTTCTTCAACTCTTACAGGAACCGGTAAACCGAAACGTTGAACAAAATTGTGTGCAGATTTCAATATAATTCGAACTGAACCTTTGGGATTCAACAGACTAAAATAAGTATATCTTAAGAAATTAGTGTTTCCCATTTGCGTTACTTCACCTTTGCTTTTTAACAGAGGACAGGGATCCTAGTGAAGAACCGGAACGTGGTGGCAATAAACTTCTAAATGAATCATTCATTTTTAAAAATCAAAATTATTTTTAAGGCTAATATGCAACGGGTGGAAATTTTACCACAAATCGCTGTGTAAATTGGTTATAAAATTTGAAAAGGGCTAACCGATATGACACCGCTGAAAAAAAAATGGTTAACCAACTCGTATCTCGTTTTACCGAAGTTAAATTCTAAACACGAACCAATTAAGAAGAAGATCTTCCATCTTCTTTGATTATTGGAATGAACCATGGAGCAAGGTCTAAGACAAGCGAGGTGGTTATAATAAGTACTTTCAATTGTTGTTTACTTTCTTTAAAAATTGAATGTGAGCTGCAAAAATGAATTCGAAGAAGAATAAATTGCCAAAAAAGATAAAACATTCCAAAAAAGACACAGACATTAACCATGAGGACAATCATATGAAGCTCCTCCCAGACGCTGAGGAAAACAGTGAATTTGTGAGTGAAACTGTATTAAATCCAGAATCCCATGAAGAATCTCGGAAACCTAAAAAAAGAAAGGGTTTAGAAGCAATTGAAGCTGAACCAAAGAAGAAAAAGAAGAAAAAAAAAGAAAATCCAGATGAGCAACAAAATGTACAATACATTGAGGATTTGAAAGAAAACAATAACCGGAACGCAGAAATATTATCAAAAGGGCCAAAACACAAAATTAAATCAAGTAGTCATGAGGATGTTACTTCATCGTCTTCATCGGAAGAAAAACATAAGAAAAGAGTAAATGATAATCTCCACAGTGCTTCAAAGAGTGAAGACAACAAAGTAAGAAATTTTCTGTAGTATAATCCTAGTGTAAACAACAGTTTTCATTTGCCAAACACATTATAGGATTCAAAAAAGCGAAAAAAAAAGAAAATAATAGAATCCGATTTAGAGAAAGAAGAGGATAGAAATGAAATGAATCATTGGGAACTTTATGATGACCTTAATTTACCTAGAGAAACATCATATAAAGACGAGGATTCAGAGCATTATTTTGACAATGAAGAAGCAGAGGAAAATGAAAATTATTTTCTAACTGACTCACCCAAGGAAAAACTAGACCTTGAACATTTGGATCAGGAGAATTCAAAAAAAGACCACATAAAAAATAAAAAAAGTCGTAAGTAATAGGCTTAAGTAATAAGGACCCAAGAGGTGGCTAGAAGGGTTATATCTACCGTTATTGCAGAAAAAGTGCAAATTCATTGGCCTACAGATGATCTTAGTGAATTGGTGCGTAGAATAGAATGTTGTATTCCGTTGGGTGATAATATGAGTTATAAAAGTCGACTTGCTAAGTTGGAATGGGAAAAAGTAACCTTTTTTAAAAGATATTTTTATATTTTAATCATATGGCTTTAGGTACCCTTTAAAAATTATAACCTAGACGAGTGTCAAAAAGTTTGGGCGCAACTAGAAAAAAAAGTTAGACACTACCGTCTTCTTATCGAAATTTTACAGGATGTTAAGCAAGTTATTTCACTACCTGAAAAATCGACACGTGGAGTTTTGAAAGTATTAAAATACATCCATATCCAAAATACTGATTCATAATACTCTCATTTTCAGCACAAAAAACATCCAGATATGCCTAAACGACCTCTTACATCCTACTTCCTGTACTACATACAAAAGAAGGACAAAATAATAAGGGAACACCCAGATATGGTTATGGTAAGTACTTCATTTCCTACAGACCCAAATGTGAATGGATTGTCCAGAAATTAAAACACAAGCTTAAAGTTAAAATGAACTTGTATTTTCATAATAGTGGGCGGGGTTTCCAGGGTTTTGGCGAGCTTCAAAAAACTGGTGGCAAACAACAAACGCCGAATTTGAGCTCTACAAAACTTAGGACCAAGTGTTTCCTATTGATTTCGACCACTATATTTTTCCCAGTGAACATCACCAGTCCACTAGAATTTAGTGCCTTCATTATTTTGTTTTAGATTGATGTGAACCGTATAATTAGCGAACAGTATAAAAAATTGCCACCAGAAAAAAAGGCCAAATATGATAAATTAGCTGAACAAAATAAAGAGGAATACAAAAAACAGTTGGAGGAGTTCTAGTAAGATTATAAAATATTTCATAGTTAATTTTCTTGTTATTGTTTAATGGTTCTCATTTTAGTGCTACTCATCCTGAAGTGCCAAGACAAGTAAATCTCAAAAAAGGTAAAGAACAAAAGAAGTTGGGAAAAATTAAGGAAAAACCGACGAAGCCTCCAAAACGACCGGAAGCTCCATTTAAGCTGTTTTATCTGTCGGAGTATGATAGAGAACAAATAACTGATAGGGATAAGTCGGAGTTTAAGGAAATATGCAAAGAAAAGTGGAGGCACATGTCTGACAAAAAGAAGATGTACTGGATCAACTTCGCAGAGGATAGATTTTTAGAATACCAAGTGGCCATGAAAGAATATGTCGCGAAGCATCCGGAATATGTGCATAACGCTCCCGTAAAGCATTTTTTATCCAAGGAAGAATTGGCCCTAAAGGAAAGAGTCGCGGGGAAACCACGAAAACCTCCCAGTTCCGCTTACGGACTCTTTGTTAGTGAAATGTTGCAAACTGCCCAAATCAAAGCTATTCCTGTACGGGAAAGATTAAATTATGTTTCTTCCAAGTGGAAAGATTGTTCCGCTACTGAAAAAGAACACTATAAAGAGTTGGTATCCAAATTGAATGATGAATATCAAACTGCGTTCCTTGCTTACATAGATACTCTACCGGAAGACAAACGACAAGGCGAACTGTTGCTTAACCTACCGAAGAAGAAGAAAAGTGATAGTGAAGCGAGCAATTCGAAGAAACGCGCAAAAACAGAAGCGCGGGAAGAAAAGTTTGAGGAACCAGAACAACCGCCAAGGTGAGAATTGAAAATTTGATTTTAATCGTTTAAATTATTTTAACTGTTTAGGTCTTTGTTTAAATATTTCGCGAAGCAATATACGGGATCGGAAGCGGTTACGGAAGCATGGAAAAACATTTCAGCCGAGCAAAAGGCAAATTACAAAAAAGAGTTGACCGAGAAGAAGCAACATTATATAACTGAGTTTGAAAAATTTTTGAAGAGTCTTACTAAGGAAGAACTAGAGGAGTTCTCGAGGACGAGAAAGCAGATCGTCGAAGATAGCGATGAAGATGACCCGGACAGCGTCGAAGAAGAGGTAAAGTTTTGTTACTGTCAAATGACGTCATAAAACACTTCATTTTTACTTTAGGATTCTGATGACAGTTTTGATGACTCCGAGGGTTCTGATGATTCCGAAGGTTAAACATTGAGTGTCGTTACAGTAAAAATTTTTATATACTACAATGTGTTTCATAGACGCATAAGTTGTAATAGTTTGAATAATCTTTTCCTTTATAAGGATATATCATATTTTGGGCTTTGCAAATATTTTGTGAATTATGCTATATGATGTGTAATTTGCACTGCGTTTATTGGAGTTTGGTATATTTACCTTACTCGATTCTATAGTACCATTCTGTTTGTGTCGTGTATATAACTAGAGTTTTAGAAATATAATCAGTTTTGATAAAAAAATATGTTTTTTGGTCTTTTGCTTTTTCAGATCTCCAAAATCCTTTAGTTAATTCAGTTCCATGCAGAGTGGAATCGGATCTTTTGTTTTAACTACTATTTGCCAATCTTACTAACCATAAAATCTTACAAAATTCATTAATTTGCAAAATCTTTATGGTTCTTAAAAATGCTATTAATATATTGGCAATAGCAATATAGTGGCAATAATACCTATTACATATCAAAGAAGTTTTCTAAAGATAAGAAAACAAGACTTTTTTGGATTTTTGGACATAAGTTTATATGAACTTTATTTACTTTTATCGGCTGAATACATTGTTAAAGTTTTTCTATTACAATTCGTTAATTTGATTAGACTTAATATTTGTTACCTTAAGATCAGCCCACAGCAGTTTTTGAGGTGCATTGACAATTTAATACTTTAAGGGATGATTGCAACTTTCTAGTCTTCAAAGGAAAAAATCCAAAATTTTTAACTTTGCGTAAAGAAAAATCGGTGTTTTATAACAATTTTATTGAAATGACACAAAATACTACATTTGTTTGGCAACAAATTAATAAATATGCAGGATGGTATATACAAATTATACAAATGTTTGAAATGAACCCATAACCCTGTGAACAACTACTATAAAATATTTTCAACTAAAGTTATTTTGCGAAATTTCCACGCTAAAGATGTTATTGGTAACCAAAGGAATGAACCAGGTAGCTCCTACCATTTCAGGAATCAAATTAAAAATAAGGGCACTTTTAAACTATAACAACTTTTTACAACAACAGGGTCTAAGTTTTATATATACAAAATAATATTTAACAAACAAGATACATATCTAGAAAATTAGTGTTTTCATTTATTTCTGTATTTTTAATAGTGCAGACCTATAATGTAAAAATAGGCCAGAAGCACAGTATACAAAATGTCCCAATATTTACGTCACATGGCATATATTTTTTTTACTTTTGTGGATCAAAATTTAATGAAAGTGAAAAAAATGATCCTGGCCAAAACAAAAATATCCTATAAAAACCATGTTTTTTCCTTGCACTTGTCGCTTCCCTTTTTTGAATATATTTAAAAACATATGCCATATACATATGTAGTAGGACACCTGGGTATATCTATTCTTAACAACATCACGGCTAACTATAGACTATTTTTTAACAATTATTGTTCTACTACTAGACCAACATGTTTCTAGTTTAATATAGATCCAAAAGATAAAAATACTATTGTCATATAATAGGTTTTAAATTTGATTTTCTAAATCTCTTGGACAAAAAATTCGTTTTAATGCTTTTACCATTCTGTTGTGCATGTTTTTAAAGAAGGTAGGAGAAACGACACATGCCAACATTTAGCTATATCACTTCTATAGTACATCTATAGGGTGTCTTAAAAACTATATAAAAAATCTTAAGCAGAGATAGAATCTCATGGAATTGCTTAACAAGAGGACACCTTGTATGACAGACGTTCTTAGCATTAAAAAGACTAACATTATCGTTAAGAGGGTCCAGGGGATATAGAAAGAAGAGTAGATTATAGGCAGTTAGGCCTGCAGTATATTTACCCGACAATTTTGTTATACTTAGAGTGACGAATTTTAGTAACTTAGGTATCACATTTTTTTTTGCCACTCCTAAGTAAAATATTACATATCTTCATCGGGTGTGCAATACTGAGCGTTAAGACAGGAAGGCGATTACAAATAGTGGTAACATGGTCCAATTTATGCAAAATATTCCTAATGGTAAAATGTTCTCCTATGCAATTAAGTCGATGTATATATCCTGAACATTAACAAAATGATTGCCATCGAAGATGTAATAAACACAGAATTGATTTCCGAAGAATATTTTGAATCAACACACATTTTCCCATAATTTATTAACTGGACACAAAAATATTCTTTAACTGTTACCACTTATGTGAGCATTTTTATTCAGCAGCGCTTATGGTAATAGTTTTGCCTTTGGCATCGTCGAACCGATCCATAGTTTTTATGTCCATCATCATGGTTAAGCCAAAAGTCATAATGAGCATTAGAATAAAAGTTACAAACAATCCAGACCAGATGGGAATAGAAGTAAATCCAACGCAATGGTAAGGATCATCAAACTTCATTTGTTGTGTTAGAATGGTTTGACGGTATAAAGGCTGAACCTAAAAGCAAGGTTTAAATATTCAATACTTATTTTACTATGATTAAGTAATAGTTACTTGGAATCTTGGCAGGGTAATACTTTGCCCCAATGATGCATTTTTGAAAACCTGATTTCCACAAGCATAAGAAAACGCCAAAGGAGCATAAATTGTCCCATTTACTTTCTCATGGAATGTGACACTATCGATAGTAACAACGACAACATGCAGATTCCAATAGTTACTAGCAGTCCTTGTAAAATTTAGTCTAAATAAAGGACATTATTATTAGGAACATCAAAATACAAGCAAAACTTGATAGAATCACACTTACTTGAGGTCAACCTTGGCACCATTCTCTGAAATTCCTGAGCCTGTTAAAGTTAGAACTGAACTCTCATTTGACTCTGTATATGTGAGATTAACTTTGTCAGCTCTAAAATAAGCAACATAAAACCCATCAGGCTTAAAAACGATTCAATGAAACTCACCCATTTAGAATGGCGCTACCCGATGTGTAGAAGAAAATATCATTGCCAAAGAACTGATTTGTAGTCGAGTTTAAATCAGAAGCCAATAGCGATCTTGTTCTACGAGACTGCACAATTTCTTCAGATCCGACCTAAAAAAAAAGTGTTTAAGTCAATTAAATTCAATTACAATCTTATCACTGAATCAGCTATATAAAAATAAAATTTGGGTCTACTGGAGTCATTCAAAATGAAATTTATAACAAGAGGTCATATGCATGGTCATCTGACTCCTTGTCGCAAAAATATTGACTTGCTTTTTGTCTCTACTTTAAAAGGAAAAAAATATTAAAATAAATCATTTACTAAATGAAAGTACCTGAAAACAAAAAAAAATAAGAAGTCCCTATAAAAAAACCCACCTTGGTGTCTATGTCATAATCTGTTTTGTTGTTTTTTTTACCAATTGTTGAAAATATTCTTCTTTCATCTTTAGTCTACAATAACTATGCTTACCCAAGAGGTACGATGTGCTGTATAAATAGCAAGAACATTTCCATATTTGTTCAAAACCTTCTCATAGACAGATGCAATAAGCGAATCTAAAAATGAAACCCATTTCAGTGTTTCAAATCTACAAAAAACAAAACATTACCATGCCGTTTTAACATTTCATGTCGTTGTTCATTTTCGGAGGCATCATTTAACTCAATTATAATAATCTGAGAGTCTGGAACATTCCAGCCTTCTGTTATTTGGTCGGCCGATATTAAGGTGGGATTTCCAACTAAATTGTCCAAAGCTTTTATGGGATTTTGCACATACGGAAAATATGATGCTTTGTAAGTTTTCCGTAATTTCAACAATCTTGGATAAGTTGTGAAACCAGATTCGTCCCTTTGAGAAAAATCTTCTGGACTCAACTGAAATTAAAAGTAGGTTTAACACTTTATATGTTTCAACAAAACTAATTTTGTCAATTGATACCGTTTGTTCAGTGAAGACTACTAATATAGGATTGCTCTTCAAGCGATCCAAAATATCATCTTTGAATGAGTTTTGGCTGACTTTATGTAAGGCAGGCTGATGTTCAATAGTCCTATGAAAAGTCCTATGATTGTAATGGCAAAAAAGATGTAAGGAATAGTAATAAAATTCTTTTGAAATGCAATTCAATAGCGTTAAAAAAATGTTAAAAACTCTAATGCAATTTAATTGGCAAAGTGTGGGGCTTAAAATTCTAACTTACCTACTTGTACCCCAGATGTAAACAGGAACAAACTCTGTGCATTTCGAAAATTCCGCTAAAACTATTACGCCCAAAACTATTAAATTGAATCTATGTATTATATTCATTTTTCTCATAGACTTATATCAAATTCAATAAGCTAATTTCTTCGGTTTACAAGATCACGTGAAATACTGATTAACAGAAACCATTTGACAAGTCAGGTGAATTGGGCGACGACAAACAATCAAGGCTGCCCTCTACTGGCTAAAATATTGCGCTCTTCCTTTCTTCTAGGTTGCGTTTACTTTAAAACACGAACACCAATCACAGATCACACTTTGCAAGATGGTATTACCAAGGATTGTGGCCACATTTGAAATAAAAGAATCAATTTGTAAATTACATGGTTCCCCCTTTGTTGTCTGTGGTTGTGAATGGGTCTGTCTTTATTGACAGATTTATCAAAATTTTATCCATTTTATACAATTTTGGGTCTCCGTTTGAGTGCCTGGAAAATATGACTATTTTGCCCACCATACGAAAAACTAATGCAAGCACCGAGGAAAGTAAGGATGGTAATCAACAAAGTGTAAGTACTTTAAAGGAGATTCTCCATGTACAATACTTTCTTATTGCTTTCTTCGTGGGGCAATTCCCTTTCTAACTATGCTCATTTCGATAATTTAGAGGCAAAATTTTATGTGTATTTGGTTCAATAGATATTGCATGTCGTTATTTTTTCAGGTCTCAGCTGACAGGTCAAATAGGAGAAACGAAATAAATTCACTGCAGATATCATCTCTCGCGGATAACAATTCAAGTGCAAGGCGGTCACCGTTTCCATTGTATGACTTTTTGTTTATGTTAAGGATTTAATTTGGATATTTATGATTTTAGTAAAACTGATAGGAAAGATAGGCTTAGAAAACGATTTAAAGAACCTGACAGAGCTCGAGATAGGGAAAGGGAACGTGAACAAAAACGTGATGCCCGTCGTGAACAGAAAAGAGATAGATTGGCTCTAACAAAACGAGAAATTGGAAATGAACCTTTGATCGTTGATGGGTCTGACATTGATGTTAAAACAGTCCCTGAAACATCTTGTAATAACAGTAAAGTTGAAACTAAAGAAGAGAGCACTGGTTTCAATAGTGAAGATGAATATGATGAAAGTAGTATTAAGGACAGGCTTCTAACAGAAGAAGAATGGCAAAAGGTGAGTTTGGTGGCCACCAATAGATGGGATGTTTTTAAAACACTTAGAATTTGGAATTTAAAAATGTTTAATAATTCCTAATGGTATATCGGCTAAACGTAAGCATATGTGACCACTTTACTTCAAAACTCACATGTTACATATTACCTTTGACCAGGTCATTCTACCTGCATAAGTGGTAATAAAGCATTATTAATGGCTCTGTTATCATTTGTAATGACGCAAAAATTTGTATCGTATTTAAAATGTAATGCGAGTTTTATAGAAAGGGAAGCATTATTAAATGCAACACTTAATTTTAATGGGACTTGCTGCAAGAACCGATAACTTAAAGGACATAAGCTATTATCTTGATTCAGGTTTAAAGGCCGTCGTTGGTTGGAATTACTTCCTAACGTTTCGCTAGCACGAGTGGCGAGCTTCTTCAGAGGTCCTTCCATCTCCGATGTTGGACGTAGACGTTAGGAAGTAATTCCAACCGACGACGGCCTTTAAACCCGAATCAAGATAATAGCTTATCAACGGGCCGCGAAAGCCTTAACGAATTTATTAAAGGACATATTTACAGTATGTCTTCAATGTAGCAAAATTAAAAGCTAATTTCTATTCCTTTTTTAAAATAATATGAATATAAAAAATACAATGAACCTTATATTAAAATAATACCATTTCTGATTTTACTTGCAAACTATATTAACATTTTTTCCGCCAGAGGTCTCATTGAATTATAAAATCGTGAATTACTTGGAGTTTCTAGAACTTTTGGAAATTTTAATTTAATATTTAATTTCTATTAATATCTAAACAAATATACACTCAAGTCGGCTGAAATTTGGCAATGTTATTTGGTCTATTAAGAGGCTAATTTAGCCCTAATATGTTAAAATTATGAAGTCTAGTGACCTCTCTGGATTAGCTTAGCTGATATTATTGGCAATAAAATGAACGCTGCCGTTTGGGTGGCTTTAATATTTTTCCCAACTTCTTTGCCTCTTGTATTTTTCCGTATCTCACTTGGTTTCTGAGAAAAAAATGGGTTTATCAATTTTTGCTGAAAAAATAAAAAAATTGCTATCAGTTCTTTATGTAGAAAAGAATTATTGTCTCCGTTTTTGTAAGAGAAATTACACTTTTGAGGAATGGTAGATAGGCATTTAATGCTGTCGTTGTTATGTTGTAATGTCAGACCTACCATAAAGGTAAAATTAATTGGGTAAAATGTGCACACATAATCGTGCAATTTAGAGAAATCCTTTTAAAAATTATGTAATTTACTGTTAAGTGTACTACTTATTTGATTAGAGTACTTGTTGTTATTTATTTGTACTGTTACTACTACTACTAACAAATAAATAAATAAAATATTCATTTTTTAGAGGGATGAATTTTTCTCAAGATGTATGTCTAGTTTAGGATATGAGATTAAACAAATAAATGAAGATGGAGCTTGTTTGTTTCGGTCCATTGCTGATCAAGTCTATGGAGATCAAGAATTCCATTACCAAGTTAGGCAAGATTGTATGAATTATATTGTGAGTATTTTTCATGTAATGCTCATTAGTACCCCCCTGTAGCTTACTGAAAATTTTAAAAATAACTGTTTGAAAAATATTCCTAAAACTGGAAATTCATATTTTAAGGTACAAAATCGAGACTACTTTGAACCATATGTGACCGAAGATTTTGACAAATATGTAGCACGAAAACGTACATGGCATGTTCACGGTAATCATCTAGAAATCCAAGCAATGAGTGAGCTATATAATAGAACCATTGAAGTTTATTGCTATCAAATAGGTAGACAGACACCACTAAATATGTTGAAACTCTTTTCTAACGCTTATCGGTTTTCCAGAACCTATAAATATTTTTAACTGTTCAACCAGAATTGTCAACACTTATGAACCCATCAGACTTTCTTATCACAGAATGTGTCATTATAATTCAATTAGCAACCCAAATAAACCATCGGTTGGGGTGGGGTTAGGATTGCCTAACTATCATCCAATCGATATTGATCATAGGAGATTGCATGATGCAGTCCGTGCCAGTGAACAGTTACTAATTGAACAGGTAATTTCGAAGCTGTAAATAACTGGGTAAAGTGTATGTTTATCTTGGAATATCTTAGACAATGCTTGAAGATAAACTTAAAGCTACGGATTGGGAGGCTACAAATGAGGCTATAGAAGAACAAGTGGCCAGAGAATCTTACATTCAGTATTTTCGGGATACCGAAAAACGTTTAAAAGCGCAAGGTCATCCGCTGGCGAGTGGTAGCAGTTCTACAATTACTTCTTCAATGGCTTCAAGCCCGCGCAGTTCCAGACGCGGCTCTGTGTCGCCTAAAGGTTGTCAGTCCCCAAAAAGTTGTTCTTCACCAAAAAATAACTACTCTTCTTTGCGTTAGTTTATTAATAACAATTATTTACGATTTGATTGATGATAATTTATGACGTTTCCAGCAGCAAGTCCAAGAGCAACAGCATTTCTGGCAAACACCGTCTCGGATAATAATATTGAAAATGTGCCTCCAGCTTATGTTCCTACTAAAGAAGAAGAAGCTTTTGCAAAAAGGGTTTACAACTCTCCAAGACGCATCACCGACCAGTCAGAAATGGGGTTTAACATAGAAAATTTTACAGGCGAATTTACTCAACAAGCCGGGCCTTCCTCGGTTGCAAATAATATCGGTAAATGATACTCATTATACATATACATATTAAAAATTACTTAGTTTTTTTTTATTTATAATAATTTGCCATTTCGATAGGTGGATTGGAAGACTTTGATCAGGGAATCATGGCACAAGTTTTGGCAGAGTCTCAGCAAACTTATCTAGATGAGCTGAAAAGTAAATCGAGAAAGAGAAATGTATCGCCAGGACCATCAACCTCCACATAGTGACTTACTTTTTGAAAAAAAAAAGTATTTTTTATTGGACTTAAACCCAATGTAAAATTTGTCGTGAATATCAATTTTTCATTTCTTGGGGGGGGGGGGGGGGAGTTTACAGCATATTATATATGTTAACAAAAGTACTTCTGAATAACTGGTTTATTTGATACCTACCAAAAATATATGAATCGTTTTTCTGGTGTCGAATATATTTATAATTCTTATACTAATTTTTGAAAAGGATTTAGTTTTATATATTTTTGTGATATATTTAAAATCAGTTAAGTGATTTTTGTAAATGTAGATAGGTAAAATGTATAACTAACTAGAGTATATTTTATACTTATTTCTTTTCAAATTTAGGGTATCAGTGTTTTTGTTATCTTGCATATATTAAAAGAATATAGATATTTCATATCAGATAGTTTGATTTTTCGATGGCAACCTTATTATTTCGTATAAGTTTGGGTCAGCAAAATGACAAAAAATAGAAACATCTTTGGAGTATTAAAATCCAATAAGAATGCACAGTGTGTCCCATTATTCCCATATATTCGCTAAACTTATTTGAAAGAAATACCCTGTATGTCTTTTAAAAATTTTACTTATTGTTAGCTTTTCAAAAATATGTAACACATAACAGCAATTGCGAGGTTTACCAACCGTACTATATTATACAGGATTATACTATATTTCAGCTCAACGTACTATACAGGGTGTTTAAAAAAGACGGGGCAATATTAAAGAGGTGGTTCCTCAGATGATTTTATAAAACAAAAATGTATAGCTTGCAATAGCAGTGTTAAAGTTTTTTTTAACTTAATTCAAATATCATCTCACGGATTTGTTGAAATTTGGCAGCGTTGTTTCTAGTGATAAGCTGATTTGGCAATAGCTAAATAAAAATTATACAGTGCCCTTGAGGGGAGCAACTTTATAAAATTTGTGTATAAAAATGTACGCCACTGACTGACTAATTTAATTACCATACTACCCTGAGATAGAGCGAGTCGCTTTACATTTATATTTTATTCGAAAATAATATTTTGGGACGCGCTCTTAAAATCTAAATATTAGACTTCCTTTGCATTGCTTGTCGCTGGAGCTTCTTTTTTATAACTGCATTTCTACAATTGAAAGTATGTGTTAGCCGAAATTAACCAAAACTTAATTACATTCTGAAATAACGGTTTGCAATGGAAAAAAAAACAAACTTTTTATAATTACCAAGTTTACACTTTTTTCGGAAATTTGTAAAATTCCTCTGGAAATTCTAAAGGCAGTGTTGTCATATTGACGTCTCGCTTGATTTAAACCGGTTCCCCCTGCATATATATATATATATATATATATATATATATATATATATATATATATATATATATATATATATATATATATATATATATATATATATATATATATATATATATATATATATATATATATATATATATATATATATATATATATATATATATATATGATGACACTATATTCCGGGATATCATCCGTTCGCTCGTTGAACTCCGACTGGAATCCTGCATCCGACTGGAATCCTGCAAATCTTGCATCCGACTGGAATCCTGCAGACGTTTCGCCAAAATCTCACTTGGCATCTTCAATGCTCGCGCTCCGAAAACACTTCGAACACTGGGCAGTCGGATGCAGGATTCCAGTCGGAGTTCAACGAGCGAACGGATGATATCCCGGAATATAGTGTCATCACATTTTTCCATCCGTGAATCAATACGTGAGAATATATATATATATATATATATATATATATATATATATATATATATATATATATATATATATATATATATATATATATATATATATATATATATATATATATATATTTATTTATTTATTTATTTATTTATTAATTATTTTTATTTTAAAGAAAAACGAAATGTCACTGGTCTTCCGACATTTTATATGAACATTTTTTTTTAAGCCTTCTCTCAAGACCCCTTCTAACCTCAGACCGTTTTTGAAGTAACAAATATTCGATGCACTTATATTACTATCCCTCATACCTGGTACTATAACAAACACGCATTATTTTTTAGATTTATAAAAAAGGGTGTTTAAAAATTTGTAACAAAATATAAGGAAAGAATTACTCTTTGAATTATCAAACTATTTTTTTTTAATTTGACGTGTTTAAGTTTGAATAAATGATTAATTAATTAAAATTAATGATTAGGAGTTTTCATTTATGTATTATGTAACCCAAAGCGAAAAAAATGTTTGTTTAGTTCACTTATGGACTTAAAAAAACTACTGTTATAAAAAAATAATATAAATTTTGTCTATCCGAATCTGTCATAAAATATACACTCCAAAATTTTGTTTTCGAATAAATCGGCAACGCTGCATTTTCCAAAATAGTTATTTCTAAAATATAGAGTATTTTCTAGCCACGTCCACATTTCGAAAATGTTTTCGTTGTGTCAGTTTACCACGACCTTTAATAAGAAACTCAGCGCGAATCACAGGGTTTTCCTAGTATATTTGCACACTACCTAGAGGGCAGTCAACCAGCAATAATGATTATTCGCCTTTGAATCTAAGAAAAAATAATGCATATGGCAACGTTGCTAGCAAAGTGTCAGGCAGCGGCAACCATGTTGACATTTTCAACATCAGTAAATAATTCAACTTAGAGGTGTGTGGTGCCGATTTGTTCGGACTTTGTAAATGACTCGTTTTTTCGTGCCCTTTAAAAGCTGAAATTATAATCTTGTAACAAACAAACAAATAATGTAATTGTGTGCAGCTTTTTTGACATAAAATAAATGTAATATAGAGAACACGCCGTAATTTATAGCAAAACAAAACATGTTGAAAATGCCATTATTTGGAAAAGACCGAAAATCAAAGAAGGATAAAGAAGATAAACTGGCAATTGATGAAAAATACGCTCTAAAAGATGTTTTGGGGACGTAAGTGAAAGCTATTTTACTTCAAAACATTCTTTATTAATATTTTTGCCTCAGGGGAGCTTTTTCTACGGTCAGAATTGCGGAAAGTAAAGTGATCCCTGGGGAAATGTATGCAGTTAAAATAATTGATAAAAAGGCTCTCAAAGGAAAAGAAGATTCATTAGAAAATGAAATTAAAGTGCTTCGTAGGTGAGTCCCTTAATTACTTTGTTGTGTTGTTGGTCCGGCAAATGTTTGAAAATATAGATAATAATGTGTTTTTGTATATTTTTTATCTCTATTTACAATGTTAAAATTAGGACATGTGCCTATATTTGTTTTTTTTTTCAATACGAATGTGATAAATTAAACTTCCCTAGCAATAAAAAGCCTGCATCAACTTAATATAAAAATTTAAATCCAATTCAATGATTTTAAATTGTGAAGATCACTTTAATTTAGACAATTTCTTTAGCCGCGGTGTTAATGAAAATATATTGGCATTTTAGAATTAAAATCTTGTGTCATTATTTATCGTCAAATTTATTTTTGGTGGCAAGGAAATTACTATGTAAACTTTTAGAATATAAATTACGCCATTAAATGTTTTCACATCATATGTAACTATACTGTAACTATACTGATTGGCTTTATTTATATTGTGTGTGTTATAAACAATCAAGACACATGTAGATTCAAGTATATACAATGTTACAGTTTTGATATTCCTTCTGGAGATATAAGGCAATACGTTTTAATATTTCCAAAGGTTTAATTTTAGTTTATTAAAAACGTAAAAGGTAGTATTGGATGTAATAAATCAATTGTTTCTGAAAAAAATTCTAGAAAATAAAATACTATTACCCATTCTACTCACTACGCGTACAAACTGTTCGAATAAAGGTCAACTACGAAATATTTTTAACAATTACATTTTGATGCTGCTCTCCTTAATGCCTATATTAATGGCCACTTACACAATCCATAAAACTAAGGGACAAAATAGCAATGTTAGTTTGTTAATTCCAAAATATTTTGCACAAATTTCGTTTTTTATTAACGTTAATATAAAATCATAAAGCCGCATGATCTGTTTACCCACAGAGATATATCTTTCAACGTATTTGAACTCTTGTATTTAGTGACCCTAACAGACAGTGCTTTTAGAACCATTTTAGAATGATACTATGAAATAATTAAAATAACTATTGCAATTACTATCAAGTATTACGTACACACATATGATATAAAGAAAAAGTTTGTAAACATTGAGTTGTTTGTTCAATTACACACTTACACGTATCCCCCATTTAAACGTTTGTTGTAAAATTGTTTAATTGAGATATAGGGAAATTTTTGGTTTCATAATTTTTTGTTGGGTTTGTATGCTAATAATGTCGCCAATATACAAGGTTTTTAAAAAGTTTCACTTTTGCATGTGTGGGGTTTATTATGGTTACTTTTTAAAATTACTTTTCTATTATACAGCTTGTTCCAAAAGTGTTACAAGTATCAAAGCGTATATTATTACGTATATCCCAATTATAAAAACTTCTCATTTTATATAGGGTGTCTAAAATTTATTTTAATCTAATAAGAACTTTAAGTCGCTATAACTCGAATAATTTAACTGCAACTGGAAAATTAAAGTTATCAGGTAATATCCTTTTTAATTATTGTTCACATTTTCATAGAAAAAGCGAAAATAGGGTTTTTTCGCTATTTGGTATTTTCCTAAGTGTTTTCTAAATAAAAGTTTTATTGTATGTTACTCTATGGTATTTAGAAATGCTAGATGATTTTTTTCGTATGTTTTGTCAATTTTGTTACTTTTTGTAAATGCTGAAATCTGGATTGTTATTTCAGATTTTTACCTAAAGACTTTATCCATCATTATTGTTATCTAGAGTACTTATTCTTTCTTGGGCGTTGGGTTTTAAACATATTAATAAGTAGAGAATTTCAACTAATTATTTCTGACATTTTGACAAAATTCAAATTATTTTAAACTTATTTATTTTGACATTTAACACTTTTAGGGCGACCTGTACAATATAAAGGAAATTTTAAAAATCAACCATAACAGTTTGGTCGCAATATTCTGTGCCGTACAGCCATGCATTTCAAAATCGCCTGATGTTTTTTATCTTGAGTTAGGTTTTAAAAATCAGAACCGATTAGTTATTTTGCCCACGTTTTATTTGTTGTTATTGGAAATATACACAATGATTTATTTATTCCATACTTGCATAATTTATATACTTAGCAATAGATCAATTTTTGTCATTTTCGTTGCGCTTTCGATTTAAAATGCACAATATTGACCTAGTTTCTGGTTTGTTGATAGATAATGAGTTTCAACGTAAATTCACTACAGCCTGCCAAAAATTACCGAAAAAAACTTTTTATACTTTAGGATATTTCATTTACATTCGCAAAAAAAATCATCTATAAATACGCTTCAAAGTAAACTATTTCATACATTGCTAATATATTTATCTTCGTGGTTTTAATTGGGTGCATTCCTTTCAATTTAGAGGTACACAGTGAAACGGTATATAGTGGCGTATACCGGTCGTGTATACCAATAATCCAGGCGAAAAGAAAAATGCTAAAAATAAAAGTTGCTAGATCAAAATTAATGAATTTAAATAAAAATATAATATTTTTACGAACAAAACAAACTAATTTGCCTTAATTTTTCGTTTAATTTTTAGACTAAAGCACCCCAATATTGTACAGTTGTTAGAAACGTTTGAAGATAAAACTAGAGTATTTTTGGTGATGGAACTGTAAGTATTTCACGATATTTTTGATACTGCGTCAATTTAAAATTTTGAAGTGTTACAGGAGGTGAGCTGTTTGATAGAATTGTCGAAAAAGGATCCTATACGGAAAAAGACGCGTCAGATCTAATTAGGCAAGTTTTAGAAGCAGTAGATTATATGCACGATCAAGGGGTAGTTCATCGAGATTTAAAAGTGAGAGTTCAGAAATCACGTTTGATGCTATAGTCATCAATTATTTTTTAGCCTGAAAACTTATTGTACTACAGTCCAGACGAAGATTCAAAAATTATGATTAGTGATTTTGGTTTATCAAAAATGGAAGAGTCTGGAATAATGGCAACAGCCTGCGGAACACCGGGCTATGTCGGTAAGGTATATTCAAAATCGTTCCGCATATATCTTGCTGTAAAAAAATAATTTTAGCTCCGGAAGTACTAGCACAAAAACCATACGGCAAGGCGGTTGATGTCTGGTCAATAGGGGTGATATCTTATATCTTACTTTGCGGATATCCGCCGTTCTATGATGAAAATGATGCCAATTTATTTGCCCAAATTTTAAAAGGTTTGTAAAAATATTGAAAAAATGATTTTTTTTGTACCATTTGTTGGATGCTGTTTTTGAATTATTCTTCAAAAATATTAAAATGTCGTTTGGAATTCGGAAAAAAAAAAAGAATTTCCAAGAATGCTTACAATTTTTTTTAATACTAACATTATTGTGAATCGTTTTTATTAATTCACAAAGTCTTAATTTTGAAAATGATGGTTATATTTTCAGGTGAATATGAATTCCATTCCCCATACTGGGATGAAATCAGTGATTCTGCTAAGGAATTTATCACTAGCTTGATGACCGTAAACGTAGACAGGAGATTCACTTGTAAACAGGCACTCGCTCATCCTTGGTAATTTTTTGGGGGAATCTTAACCGAAACTTGTACTTTTTTATACTTTACGTGTTTTTAGGATATCTGGAAACACAGCAGCAACTAAAGATATCCACAGCACTGTCTCCGAGCAGCTTAAGAAAAATTTTGCGAAATCTCGTTGGAAGGTAACAAAATAGGCGTGAATTTGAGTTGCCTGTAAATTCCACAGGACTACAAAATTGTTTGCCGCCATAACAGATAATACTCTATCTGTTATTCCAATAATTCTGCTTTTTTCATACTTATCATTCATTTTTTTTTCATTTTCAGCAAGCTTACCACGCAACTACTGTGATTCAGAAAATGAAGAAAATGGCTTTAACAAACAGTGGAAACCGAAGTCCCACCTCGCAAAGGTGCATCCCTGATTAAAATTGTTAACTGCTCGAATTGGAAATGCCTGTATGTATTACGTCGATTAGTGGACCTGTGGTTTACAGTTAATTTAAAAACGGGTATACCCAAACCTAAACTTTGTTTAAAATAGTCCGGGAATAATTTTTTTGACGAATCTTCAGGTACAATTGCCAATTCGAGAAATATGATGTCCATAAAAACGTAAAAACTTTTAACACACCCCGTAACCGAAAGGAAAATGTTCACATTTTCATATGAGAATGCATTTACAAAAATAGTACCTGAGTTGATACGGGGCGATTCTGAACGGCGCTTATAGAGATCTAATAATGGTCGCTTGATATTTCCAAACGGCTCAAACTCTTTATGACAAGTCTAGTAATTTGATTTGCTGTTAAAAATACCATTAACTATTCTATCAAATAACTTTATTGTTCCAGGATGGGATAAATTCAATGTTCCCTGGGAGTTTTTGGTATTCCTTCTTCGAGCGCTTAATTTTTAAGAAAAGAGACAAGCAAGACTAGGTGTTCCATAAGAAAAAACCTTCATACCTGCAAGCAAAATTTCCTAATATTGAAACTTTTGAAAACCCCCTCGTAACTTAAAATTAAACCCAGTACTTGTTTTTGGCTATTGCTGCTAGAAATAACGAAAACACAAGTAGAAATGAGCTTTGGAAATTTTTTTCGCTTTAAAAGGCACCTAAAGCGGCCAGAATTACATATTACAATCGGTATTTAGAATCACCCCGTACATGATTTTATAACAATATATACGAATTCATTCCATTTAGGTTACTTATTGCATAGAATCTCAAATTATTTAGAATCTCATATATTTTATATAGTGTCCCAAAGCCAGCTTTCGAAGGTTTATATTTATAGAAAAATAAGCACTATTCTAAATTTTTAAAAAGCCCAATTCTTTTGAAAGTCATGAAAAGTGAGTGGTGTTTCCAATTTTTCTTTCATCAAATTAGGTCAAAGTTCCATATCGATGAACCTGATAATATTCCATTACCTTTGCCACTAGCGAAAATATGGCGGAAAAACTGGATTTTTTTTACCGGCTCATTTTGAAACTTTGCAAAAATCTACAAATATATTCTCATTAAAACTTTTCGTTTTTCGTAGCTTTCCAGCTTAGTTGTTTAATAGCTCGTTTAATGTGAATGAAAATGTAGATTTGACTGGTAAAAAGATAAAATGGAAAACCGCCCCATTTTCCGGGATTTTAATTCTTTAATGGAATAATTATCTCAATTTGAGGTACTTTTTATCCCTTGCAGTTTCTGGGAAAATCGCGGAAAATGAATCTCCAATAATAACGAAAAGTTAAAACCCCCAAAAATAACGGAAATTTGGACACTCTGAAGCACACACTTATACTTAGTTAAAACAAAAAAGGCATTCGTTTTAATAAGATCAAATTAAAATTCATCATGACAATCATTTCAAGTATTCTGTGCTAATGTGTTTTTTGCATTAGGCCAATATTAAATGTCGATGTGATTTTTACTGCAATAATAGCTACCTATCAACCTTGTGATGGATAACCTGAAAAAATGATTTTTATTTGTAGTAGGATTATTAACGTAAAATACTTCAATCGTCGAATATATTTTTGTATATACACACATTATGTAACATGTATTTTTTTATGTTGTTTATAATTTTAATAATAATTGTTAAACCGGATAAAGATTGGAATTACAAGAATGATTTCGTAAATTTAAATGGGTTTATAAAAAAAATCGGTAATTGCATTTGTAGCACTCTGACAAATTTCGAATTGTATCATTTTAATCATTCGAATTATACTACTTGCACTGGGACATTGAATTAACATTTCTTAAGATATTTATGTTAGGGGAAGATTTATTCGTAAAACCCCTTACATTAAAAATTGAAAATACATTAAATTAAATAGTTTTCGTTCGGTCAACACGTATTTTTACTTCAAATAAAAAGGCACTAGTGTCTAAGGCTTACTATGTACCATGCATAAGGATGTTTAAATGTTAGAAGTTATTGAAAAACAGAAAATATGTGATATGTAAAATAGAATCACATTTAAGTAATAAACTCTACAGCCTTTTATATTCTAAAAAAGGATCAGCAATATTTTTGCAGTCAAAAGCAAACTTGTACTATAAATGTTAAATTTAAAAAATATATCAGAGTTTGGTGAATTCATTGTTATAAAATTTCGTATCACTTGTTAATATTAAAGTCAACGTGTTTCCTCTAAACAAAACTAACCCCTATTACACTGTAGTATATAAATACAAACAGTTATTTAAATAGCTAAATTAAGGATTTAAATAGTAGTGATTATAATCGGTTCCAAAATACCAGATATTCCAGAATTAATGTCAAGGGTCGACTTTATTTTTAAAGTTATATATATATATAAATATAATATAAATATATATATATATATATATATATATATATATATATATATATATATATATATATATATATATATATATATATATATATATATATATATATATATATATATATATATATATATATATATATATATATATATATATATTTTAAATTATGCAATTGACTTAATCATATATTTATTCAAATTTAATTATCACACAAATGTTCCTGTCTGTGCTTGTTCCTTGGCGTGATAACATTTGGGAAATTACTTTTTTTTTTGCTATAATAAATATATGATTCCGTGCACATTTTATACATGTGATTAAAGAGCTTGCTGCAGATGGGACGTTAAAGGTGGTTCAACCAGAATGATAAGGTGTTAAGATTATTCTTTTTTCTGTTCAGGGAATGACACTCAAATAATAACACAGAAGTAATAAAGGACTCGAAAATATATTTCGGTTCAGAAATGTTTCAGTCTTCACCTATGTTGTAAAAGAAATGATTAATTTAAAACTGGCTAAAATTGTGTTCAATATATTTGTAAAACACGTTCCAGCACAATAATAGATTGTTTAATTCTTAATTTAGGCAGTTTACTGTTTATTTAATGTTAATAAATTTTTATTCTAAAAATATTTTATTCTCATTTCCTATTAGTATTTCCTTGCAAGGACACACCAACCACCAATAGAAAATGTAGATATTAGGTAAACTACAAATTTATAACATAACACAGGTAGGTCTTTAAATTTAGGATTTTAGAACCATTAAAATTTATTAACTGAATGAAAACATTTACAAATGAAAAGAAAATCTTTCCTTATGGGATGTGTAGTCATCTGCCTAAAATCTAAAATCATTGTTCCTTCATGCTGCTGGTATATTCATTTTTGGAGCTGCGGATGTTAGCGGGCATAGAGATAGCAGTAAAGTAATGTATATTAAAATTTAACTATTTATTTTAGCACAAACCAACATTAGGTCTCACTAATCTACTTTATAATATACAGTTTGAAAATGAATAAAAACAGTCGTGTAGGCAAATAAAAATTGAATCAATAAAATTTTAATATAAAGAATTACCTTTTATATAAAATTTTTATATAATCGTTGATATATCATTTAAAATTCACAATAAAATGTTGCTATATAAAAAATTGACATTTACCATAATAGTGGGAAGTTAAATTAAAAATTAAATACAATCTAGTGCTATTTACAGGGCTGGGCTTGTTTTAGTTCCTCTTTTTTTCTTTGTTTCTCTCTCATCACTTCTGCGTCTCTGAAAATTTCCCACCAAGAGTAAGGCATGTACCAAAATTTTAGAAACAAACACTAATCAATTATAAAGATCTGGAACACTTTATTGGTATTAACTTTTAGCGCTTTCAAACCTACCCTAAGAGCACATTTATCGACTACTTTGGTTTTGCTTCCCTTCTATTTGTATAGAGCATATAATAACACAGGAACTTGTTATTTGTATCATCTCCTACCAAAGGATATATAGAGTTTACCTGAATTTTCTTTGCTCTACTGTGAGGCCATCGGTCTTTTTTCCTTTATTAAGTTCCTGCTGTTTCTTTTGGTTTTTAGCCCGAGCTAGTTCACGCTGATTTCCTCCTATAAAAATTATCAATCCCGGAAAAAAACTTTTTTAGATATCAGAAATACTCACGAGTCATTTTATATTATTTAGATTTGAACTTCTGCCATAAAGGAAAAAAAAGAATTAGGCTTCCGAAGGCCGCAGCCTCATCTAAAGAACCACAGCGATACCCCAAATACTAATAATTGTGCATCAAATAAATCACCAATAATGAAAAGAAAATTAGCATCAAAAAATGTAACGACTACGAACTACGGAAAATACAGCATAGAACAGTGGGGTCGGTTTACTCTACGAATGCATACGAACTACGAAAATTGTCAGAATATTTTATAATTATTTATTAACTCATATCATCTTTTACCCATCTTTTTTAACAATTATTCCGAAGTCTTCAAGAAAACTATAATAAAATGTATTTTTGTTGTTTGTATTAAACATTTTGATATTGTTATTGATTTTAATGTCTTTTATCTGTGATTACTGAGTAACCAATTTTGTTTTCTCTATGACATGAGGAGCCGGCATTAATTCAAACGATTCTAACCTTACAAAAAATGAGATTTATTGGTATTCATTTTAATTATTGAAATTTAAGTATCACATTAAATACGTACAAAAAGGTGTAAAATATTGCATTTATCGTTTTTGTGTTAGTTACGTTTCTCCTTTTGTATTACCAAAGAGCCGATTAAGATGGAAAATGTTAAGGAAGAGATTTTACAAATTCAAAAATTACTGAAATACTTTTCGATCACTACCTATGTGGCGTCTACCACAGATGTTGTGGTAAGTTTATCCTGAAGTATGTCTCTTTCAAACTACTTAATTGGATGAGTATTTTTTAGGCCCATGAAATATTGACACGCTGCATCAACTTGTTGGAGGTGGATTATAACATCATAAAGCTTCCCAACAATGATGGAAATTTAAGTTTTCATTATCCCAGTACAATACCTTTGATAGACAGTGAAAAACGCACAAGTTATGAAGATAACCAAGCACTAGATGAAAGGGAGATCCTGGAGCTATTACAAAGTGCGAAACTAGCTCGGTAAGTGATGAATCACAGATATCTTCCTCTATAATTTGTTTATAGTTGTAGGCAGCGTTTTCCAGTCCCTGTCATCAAATTTAGGGGCAAAAATATATGTCGTTCAGCTACTCTAGCTAGTATTCCAGAGATATGTTACAGATCAGGCTTCCAAGAATTGAATCTTAATAATCTCTTAGCATTAAAAGAGTTTTTGTATCCTAGTGAAGATACTGGGACTGACACCTTGAATAAGAATTTTGATGAAGTAACCTCCTCAACCAAAGAGGAACTGTCACAAAATTGGCCCCACTGTAATAATGTTCGCAACCAAGATATTAAATTGCTAAAAATGTTTAATACCATGACCATAATTGATCTTATGGTTGAAAAAAGAAAATGCAAATATGGGTTGTAGTAAGTATTGTAATGTTAATTGTTAGTGCAGCTTAACAGGGCACACTTTTCTCTCAGCGTTAGTTCATCTGAAAAAGTGGACTCCGAACGGTTCTCAGATTTTAAAATTGTATCATTTCCATATCCTGGCTGTGAATTTTTTACAAAGTTCCATGACAAATTATTGAGTGCTGATAAACTGAAATTCGACTGGGATCATCCATCATATGATGCAACACTTTCAGTTCCTGAGAATACACTTAATATTCAGTGGGAAGGTTACAAGGATTGGGATCTCATTACCATTACTCAGAATTATCTTAAATATATTCTAAGGTCGTTGCAGGTAAGTGTTATTCCTATAAGATTCTTATTTTGACATTAAATATGACAATAAATAGGCCTTTTTAATAATTTCTTTTTTGGGGGCATGCTAATTCTTGAAACTTGTGAGTCCATAATTTGCTGGACCCGTGAACAGTATAAAACAGTAAATTATTTGTCAATATACTTAGACTAAGGTAGGTACATACATTTTAAAGCTGACTCCAAATTTAATGGACTAGATTTTATTATTATTTAAAAAAATCCATTTTTTTCTCAAATTCTTTAATTTTTTTGGAAAAATTATGGCACTTGTTCAATATTTCCGAAATTTTCTTTAGGGGCACTCTGTGCCCTTACGTGCCCCCACAAAGAAAGCCCTAGCAATAACAATATATTTTGATGGATACAATTTATTCTTTTAGGAAGAAAGTTCTGGGATATTAATACATTGCATTAGCGGGTGGGATAGAACGCCACTTTTTATATCTTTGTTAAGGCTGAGTTTGTGGGCCGATGGATTAATTCATCAGAGCCTAGATGAATACCAAATAATTTATCTAACAATTGGCTATGACTGGATGCTTTTTGGTCATCATTTAGCTAATAGACTGCACAAGAAGGAGGAAATATTTTATTTTTGCTTTTATATGCTTAAGTTTATAGCTAGTGATGACTTTAGTTTAAGGTAATATTCGCAGATATTTCCTTTGAGAAAGAGTTGATTGTATGTTCTTGTGTATGGTGATCAATTGCTGATATTTTAGGATACTCTCAAACGGACATGGTTCAAATCTTAGTTTGGATTCTTGGGCTTCTGCTAGCGACATGTTATCGGCTCCATCTACCCATTCCAGTTCTAAGTCAGACAGTCACATTGATGAAGTTAACGGGTAAATATTTTTTGTGCATCTGGTGTTTTAAAGACGAACTTACATTTAGGAATGGAATGGACATTAATCTATCAAGTCTAAGTCCAATCCCTAGTCCTGCTGGATCATGCCAAGATACTAGTCCTATTTCCGGGGCAGATGGAGAATCATCAAAATCATCACCTGATACCCCTTTTAAGAAGAGACAACTGCAAGCAAGTACTGAGACCTGTGCCAAACGTGTAGCATCAGATCATGGCTCGGTTGCCTCTTCTCCAAGATCCTCTTTGAGAAGTTCAAAACACTCGCTGCCACTGTCAATACGAGTACGCAATGATAGTTCCGGTAGCGGTACTAGCAGCAGCAGCTTTACCTTGGTGGGATTTTCCGGAAGTTTGGAACCAGAAAATATGGCATCAGCCAAGACGTAAGTATTTTTCCCTTTGTTACAATTGTTCCAAAACCTGTGCACATACTGATTTCAGGAGAATCGGGAGACTGAGAAAGGTAAGAAATATTTTCACCGATAATTACTTGAAAATGATTCGTAACGAGACATTTGGGCCCCCGAAAACAATAATAGAGCATACTTTCAGCTTTATATGTGATACGCTTTGTAAACAATAATTACCCACTTTTGTGATTTATCAGTATAACCATGTTGACTGATTAGAATTTAAGATTTTAAGTTTTGTATGTTTTATCAAACCTGTTCAAAACAGGAAATTTTGCAATATTTTGTTGGTAAAGATATGGGACCCCAATGTGATATTGAGATTTCCCCTTCTGAATTTTATTACTTTTGCTTATAAGGTCTTGTATGTACATGCCAGATGCTGATGGTATTGGGCTAAGGATAGCAAATAGAAGTTAATATGTTTCAATTATTGTTATAAGCCCTTAAAATTTTATTGTTTTCCAATTTTTTTTGTAATGTTTGCTAAGAATTTAAGCCAAACATATCTTCAGCTGGTCTCAGTGAATGTCTTTCTGGAGTAGGGCATAGGAACTACAAAATATCCCAACTTTACTGCCATAAAACATACCATTTTACAAAACATTGTTTGTTGCTACTCCATTAATATTAAGTTCTTTGTAGCTGATGATAAACTTTGTCTTGTCACATTTTGTTTCTTAATATTGGTAGCGTCTATTTTGTGTAAAAAAAAATTATATTAAACCAAGTTTTAATATTTGTCTTGCAATGTCTTAAAAGTGCAAAGTTTATAATCAGTATTTTTTTTGCCAAAATTGTTTCCTTACTTTACCAATTCCGGGTTTAATTTAATATATTAATTGTCCCTCAAAATAAAGTTTATTTCTGTATATTGTTGTGTATTTTTTTTTAAATAATAGATAGAAAACCTATAAGGTCCATTCTTTAAAAAATGAAAAACGTGGCCACATCGTCTACCAACTTTACGATGTTTAGAATTTGGCCTAAAAAATAAAAGTTATTATTATGGAGTGAAAACGCCATGGATGGTTTTCCCAAAATCATGCGTATATTATAAAGGAAAATAATGTAAGAATAACTGAATTTATTTTAGAAGCAGGAAGTAAAAAATGAATGTTTTGTTTAATTATATTTACAGTATTGTCATACAAATTAACAATAAACAAATACAATACCAATCTCACATATAAAATAAAATTGTAAATAAAATGTATGTAAATTAAAATATTTGTTATCAGTTCATTCAAATGTTACAAGTCTGGATAATCTCGACGGAACAATTGAAACAAAAAAAAAACAGTTATAATGCCCATTATAATTCAAGTCCTTTTTTCCCTTATATGTATTTTCAAATTAAATATCAATATTTAAAAACGCGATTTTGATACCTAAGATTTTTTTTATTTCCACCAGTGGCGTTCGTGCGGAATCTCTGCATATTTTGGCGGACATTTATTGACGCCACTAAAAAAACGAACACCACTTTTCTGAGGTTTTCTTCTTACAAAAGCAACCCCGAAAATATTTCTATAAGAAAACCCTCACATTATTATTGATTGAACAATGAACAATTTTGATTCTGTTAATGGATCACACCTCTTAAATAGAGGCTAAGCACCCAAAATGCAATCAATCAAAGTAATAGCAATAAATAATCAATATAATACCAAAATATTTGCTTTTTATGGATGCTACAACTGAAAAAATGTCTTGAAACAATTGTCATCGGTCTAAAGTTTATCCAGAATAATTAAAAATATACAGTTTAAAATCAACCTAAAAATTAAAGACACTTTACATTATAATTTAGACCTTATTTACGCTTTACGATACAATAATAATCGAATAATAATTAAATGTGTATTAGGCTGTATAGTGAGGTGACAATAAATTTACATAGAAAAATATAAAAAAAGGAAAATAAAAATTATTTCTTAACTAAAAATTACCTACATATCTGCCTCGTTATAAAATCAATTTTGACGTTTTGATAAAAAAAAGTTAAGTGACGGTTGATATAGCTTTTATACAGTTTTTTTTAAACATTTACTAAACGATCTTCCGTACATATTAAAATATCACAGTAAAATTTGATTAAAAGTTCCAAATAATGGTGAAGGCCAAGTTTTTTTGTTTGAGCAGTAGGTTCGTTTACGAGTATTTTTTTAAAATCTAATTGCGATACACTTATTGCTTCAAAACTCTGCGTTATTGTTTAACTTAGTGCACATTTGCTGCAAATTCCAAACGAGCCATAGCGGTGCACGATTTTTGCAAGGGTAAAAAATCTAACTCGATTTATATAAACGTCAAGCAAATATTTTATAATTATCGCAAAGCACACGACTAATAAATGTGGGGTTCCACATAGTTTAATGAAACCCAGCTTTCGGGTTCATTCGTTCATTATTGCGAAGAAGTCACCTCTTTTATACACACAAAAAGGTGGCAAATTGTTCTGGTTTACCGCCTTAAAATCACTCTTTGTGCTGTAGCTTTATAGCAGTGTGAAACCCAACATTTTGTTATGCCCATGGCTGGCCGTTTGCTTGGTTTAATTTATAAGTGTGTGTACAAGATTTTCATCTAACGCAAAAGTCTCTCAAAGGCACTGTTAATAAAATTGTTAGTAAAATGTAATATATTAAGACTGTATAATAAAACTTATAGCTTAGAGCTTAAAAGGGGAAACAATTGTTATATATAGAAATTTCTATAATAATTTTACATGTATAAAGGCACCATATTGGATGGATCGGTTTTGTATGAGCATCATATATTGTTACCTCAATCAAAATAACAATCACAAACAAATGCAACTTAACCGCTCCTTTAAGGAGCAGGTAGTGCATTAATATTTTTATATATTGAATTATTCATTTATGTTTCCGCGTGCTAAAAAACCATCATTACATCAATTACTTTTCTGCGCAAAGGTAAGTGATGTGTCAGAATAAGTTTCAGCTCTTTCGCATTTAAGTTAAGCCACTTTGATTCCACTCTCCCTGTGTTTAGCCACCTCTGTTAATACTGAGCTTTTTATTGCACAGAGCTGCAACATGGAAATTTTTTATATCGCTCTTTCGGCGTCGCAGGACAAATCAAATTCCTTGCGCATCAAAATTAATGATCGCACGTATACAGAGTGTCCAGGGCAACCCCTAAAGGCCTGGGTTTTTTGGTTTACCAGTTCTATAGATTTACAGTTTTTTTACGAAAAAAAGAACAACCAAATGCATACTTTACATTTCATTCGGTTCAGGTTCAAGAAAGTTGATTTTCAGCAGTGTGTAGTGTAGTGTAGATACAAGCCATATTATTTCGCTTACCATTAGCGACACGTTTTTGGACACCCTACATATGGCGGTACACGACGCAAGGTATTCAAAGTTGCCAACAAAAACGTAAAGAAAAAACTATCCAAAATGCAACAGCTTAAAAAATGCGTCGGCGCTAGATTTTCCGCCATGTTGCCGACGACAAATCCAGCACCACATCGAGATACAAAATTGGTAACAATTAATTAAAATTTTAGCGATAGTAACCTTACTTACTTCACAACACGTAACTGAACTATAACACTATATGCTTAAAATCTAAAACATAATAATACGAAAATGGGGGATTTACGGTAGCACCCTAGAATTGCTAAAAAGAAACGAGTTAACGTGAATTTTGAAGATAAACCACAACTTAAAATTTACTCGATTACTCGAACAATAAATAAACCATATTGCAATTTCCGCTGGAACTGACAGGTAAAATAATACATCTTTTTTTGAGTTGCATATTTTCATTTTAGTATGCAATACTGGTCGGCCTGTACCGTCAACATTTTTGCATACTTACCTTTAACAGATACATTTTCACTGGTAAAATGAAAGTACACCCTGGATACTCTCTGGATACAGGTAATAACGATCTGTTAACTAAAGGGTTTAATTAACTACAGCCAAATTAGGCTGTTATCGGGTTTGGTAGTGGATGGATTTATTAACGACTGGACGTCATCTAGGATAGGGAATTCATCCACCAACTGGAGTGTAGGGACCAAATCATCTGTAGAATCTATAGGGTTACTTAAGGTTAAGTCAGAGGAAAGCGTATGGCTCTCACTTGTAACGTCCATATTGTCGTCTATATTGGCCAAGTAATCTTCTGGTGTATTAGGCATTGAAAAATTTGTACCCATTCCTGTAACGAAAAGAGATAGTATACACAGCAAGTCTAAATGTATTCAACTCACCGAGCCCACTGTCGCCCGATTCTTGACGAGAATGATCTGTAAGACTAGACAAGAACGGGTCCATGACGGGCAAATCGGTAGACGAACTCCTCATCATAATCTCCTGTTGCCTCCGAATTTCTTGTTGTCTTTGTTTTAGTCTCTCTCTTTCCAATTGAAGCTGTTGCAGCCTGATTTGCTGAGCCCTTTGAGGCGAAGAAGCTACCGACGAATGCCACGATGGCTGCAAACCGGTCGGAGTCCTTTGTTGCAAATGCTGAGCTGTATCCACCATTACCGGTCAATTCAAATCAACTATCGAAAAAACCCATCCCTTTACTTACGTATTCGGGGATCAAACCAAGACGTCGTCCTAGTTTGGTGGTTGATGAAGTAAATTTCGCCTTCAGCAGTTTGTGCTTGCTCCCAGCCCTCTGGCAAAGGCCCCAGTTCTACATCGCTATTCACTTTGGCATCTAGAATGTAGGAGATCCCCATTTTTGTATTGTTTTGCCAATAACACAACAAAGTGCTTATGTATGTGACACGACTTACTAGTAGATGTAGGTGAAGTATGAACTTGATGAGGAGATAGATGCTCAGAACTTTGGTGCTGGGTTGCTGCTAGGGATTTCCTAGGATCTTCCCAGGTTGTTGTCCTTGTAGTGTGACTGTAACATGAAGTTTATTTATTTAATAATTTGCACTATTATTATTGCAGCATGACCACAGCAGACAGAAAAAAATACTTGTTATATAAAAAAAGATTCGCAACTCTAACAGTGGCGGTGACATTTAAAACAGCATAAATTTAACTAGTAATTTAAGAAAATCGTGGATGCGATTTCAACGGAATAGAAAAAAACGATTATTATTTATAAAATCGACATTTGCAATAGCGGGGCAAAATGTAATGTAACTAGTGAAAGTCTAGGCTGGTATGTAGCACCTACATATATAGCTAGGTTCATCGCAAGAAGAAAAACTAGTAATGGAAAAACGAACTGATTCTATTAATGGCAAAAAAGGCGAAACCCACAGCAATGCTGTTGAATTATTTACAGTTTTGATTGAAACCCGCTGTTACATTAAACATTTCCGACGTATATCAAAATATTCCTCTTTGAATGGTACCGATCTATCAAGAAATTAATCAGTAGCATTTCAAAACATGCGGGCGGGTGTTATTCCTAACTGAACTCGGGTCCCACAAAATCAAAAATAAGGCGTGTGTATATATTGTATAATATAAACGTGATAACTCTAATTTTAGATTTATTCTCGTAATTATAAAATTTATATCTGAATTTAATTGCGATTAAGTGTAAATACACTCGTTAACATTAAATCAATATCGTACCAAACAAAGTGTGTTTTAAGACAGATCATAAATAAACTGGAAAGACAAGATTATTTACGAAGAATAAACTGAGAATAAGAACAACAATATACAAATCACAAATTCGTAGACACGTTTTTAAATGATTTAAAGTTATGTTAAACGCGAGGTTAAACATGTCAATATACTTAAATTATTTATCATAGATCTATCGATCGAAGGTGTATTAAAAGTTGATTGACAACGTAACTCTCTTATATTCAGACTAAATTCAATTGTAGATCTCTACGAAAGCTTAAAGGAAGTAAATCGAGCTTACTTATCAATTGGCCTATGGTGGTTAATAAAATCAACTCCACTTTTAAAAGCACAAACTCTAACAAAATTGTGTTGCACTCTCTTCACAGAATCTATGTGATTCTGAAAATATAGCCACCCAGCAGGAAAGTAGTGGGTGGGACAACATAACAATGGCAAGAAAATGGCGAACCTCCTTCCAATGATAATCAAGGATCATATCTGGACCACCACGAAGTTTATTTGGAAGGTTAGAAATTCCATCAAAAATTTCTGAGACACTTAATGCCGAGCAAAGCTGGGTGAAAATCAGAAGAGAGGAGTGAGTCTGATTACCTGTAAGTTGTCCATGTAAGACACAGGACAAAGAACCTAGATCTTTTCTCATTGATCGTCACAGATGTGAAACATTTATTTTTATTACATAAAAAAAGGATTTTTTAAACTTTCTGATGCCTTTTTGAGATGGACAGATATTGTGCCCCTTAAAAAAACAAACAAAGCAAAAGGAACGAGAATTCTTACGTTATATCCGTCAGTGAACTAATTAAAAAGTACACAAAGGACAAAAAAAAATTAGGCGAGAATTCTCATCCCTTATGTCAGAGATTAGTAAACAGTCGGGATATATAGATTAACAACAGCTTAGTGTTCAAGACATGTAGTATTGATTTTTAAAATGATTATCGATTTTATTAATATTTTCCAAAAATGCGAAGAACACGAAACTACAATCTAGAAAACAGAAATATTTTTTAACATTACTACTTCGCGTAGATATCAGTAACCTTGTAATTGGAAAACTAAAGCTCTATAACAACTGATATTATTCAGTATTTTTTTTATTTTTTCTTTTTGCAAAATCGAGATAATCTTTGATGCAGTTTACAGCATAGTCTACCCCGGTTCTGCGAAGGCCTACAAATCGAGGTAAACCCGAGCAGGTACTGAGATTCCAAGCCGCTGCAACAAAGACGATGCCAAACAGGTATCGAGTATTTTATATAGATAACTACGTCGGCATAGTACAGCTACTCATATAACGGCCCCCGTATAGTCCACGTAAGTCAAACTTCCGTTGCAATGTACAACACTATAGAGTCTGCGGTTAGTTTGGCCTTTAAAGGACGGATAATTCATTGAAAACAGGTAAATATTAGCAGACTCGTGAGTGGATATCGTTGTAGCTGCACTATCTCTAAACCGTTGCGAACTACTTTGAATCTGAAGGACATGCGGATTCCAAGAGCCTATACCAACCATCAGTCAACTCTTTTATGAAGACGAATAATTTTTCGCGAGTGTGTGTTAACTCGAATTTATATCTTGGTAACCTTTGTTTGGTTAAGTTACAGGATAATGAATATACCAACAATGCTTGAAAAATCTTAGATTTAAGGAAAACATATAAAATTATTAACCCAATTTCACTCTGACATTTATTGAAACCAAAACATTCAAATGCAAAATGGTATAAGGAAAGTCTTATTATTTTAGTCAAAAGAATCGACCTCCCGAATTTTGGATACATATTTCCCCATATTTTGGAAATATTTGCCTATATTTCCCCGAATTTCCTCACACTTCATCGTCTCAATTTTAATAAAGTAACCATTTTTTATATAACAATTTCCTTTTTCTTGTCTTTTTTCGGTTATGTTACAAGCGATGGTATACAGGGTGTTTCAAAATTCAATAGAAACATTTTAAGAGCATATTTATTAGCGTTTTTTCATATAAACAAGTTTCCTAACTTGTTTTGTTTTCTAGATTTAGGCTATCGTTTTTAAAAGAAAAAGGTTTTTTTATTAATCAGTCTAAAACCTTGGAGCTCACTTTGACCAAAATTTACTTATTAGCTTCGTTCAAAAAAACATTAAAAACGGGATTATCGTTAATGTACCTCGACTAAAACAATTATAATTAATCAGATGTATTTATTGAAAAAACGGTTTAACTTCAAAAATTCACTTAAACTAAAGGAACGAAAAAAAGCAGAAAAATAGTTTTTAAAGTTTTTGAGGAATTAATAAAAAATCGGTTTGTCTGGAAATCTGAATCGTGTATTGCAAAAATCCTTTTGAAACAGAATGAAAACTCAAAAATTTTGTAAGACTTTGGTCAAATCAAATAAATGCAAAGTCTCATTTGGCGTTAAGACGTCATTAGTGAAGCGTATATCTTCAAACTTTCGATTTTGGTCTAATTGGTCTTAGGCAACAACACGTGGGAAAATAATTCGTACTCAGATTAAACTTACAAGCCTATGAGCTGGTCACCAAAACAGAATAATTATCAAGCAGATCAGCCAACCACTCCCTATAAGTTGGTTTTAAAATACTACTTACGAAATCTTAGGCGAACTATTTCCAAGTAGCGATATTAAACAATGCCGTTTAACACATTAAAAATGGCAAAGCTCACCTACATAAATTGGAAAGCGTTCGTTACCTATATTGCAAGTGACAGACTATGGTTGAAACGTGAGTTTATATATAATATTTGAAAGTGATTCCTGTGGAAACCAGAGGTAGTTTACATAAAAAAATATGTCAACTTGTAACACGCTCTTAAAAACTTAAAAATCTGTGCGTTATTATTTCAAAGATTGGTTTCAAACTCTGTTTATTGGTCATTTTATGCTTGGATATCTTTTCTATAAAACTATTGCAATATTTTCAGGTACTAATTACATATTAATTCAGTGCTAAAAAAGTAGGTCAGAAAAAACTCCAATTTGATATTATTTTAGATGCTTTGAGTTGCTTTGTGGCTCGGGTTACGTGATGACTTTCCATGGATAAGCGGATAAAAATGAATTAAAGTACATTTATTTGACATATTTGGATTCCGAATGAAACAGCAGTAACGGAAATTTCCGTCAATCATATTCGAGTGCGTATATCAATGGCAACGGACTAAAGACCTTCTTGCAATAAATAAACAAATATAAACTGGAAGACATTAAAAAGTCATTACTTTTGATGAACGGTTGGAAAGCCAGTAACCAAAAATATCGATGTGACTAACTGTTGTTTAATTGTATTCCGAATACTAGCGACGCCAAAGTTCTAGCCAAAGATGTCAGTGCCAAGTATACCAAGGTTAAAAATTAACTGCCGTTTAATTTCGATTAAGTTTCAAATAAAAAGCAATCCTAAAAAAACACTCAAAAATCAAAAAACTGTTCTGGAGAAATAATATTATTTTATTTAAATATTTCCTACTATTAGAAAATTTACAAAAAAAATATCCCCAGCAACAATAGGAATTTTATAGGTATAAAAAGGTAATTTGGTTGCCTTACAAATGGGCCATCAATAACATCTTATAACTTTAATTTTATATTAAATTTTATAGCTAACAAAACTATAAATTTTAGCTGAGAAAATACCGCTAGTTCTCGCTACTCGCTATACTATTGTTAAGATTCCGTGGAGTTGTGTTAAAACGTGTGAATAAGGCCATATTGTTTAGAGCTGATTTTAACAAGTTCGATGTCCCGAGACTCAGGCGCCTAGAATTTTAAAATCTAAAAATATCCAAGCAGCGTCGTCTAATTACCCCGTGTATACGAAATGGAAGGCCTTACTGCCAAAAATTATATTATTTTTCACTTCAAGGCTTGCCAGCCAGTGGAAAACCCGATAATTTAAATTGCGAGCGGCGCGTTTTGATATTTACGTTTTATATTATCAGGTATTAAAATTTTAAGCAATTTGCTTCGCATACTAAATCGCAAGCGACATAATACCGCATATATGTTATTTAATCAGAAGGAAATATTTTCACGAAATAATAAAATTGACCTCAGCTGCTTACAGTGAGACGTAATATGTAATATGTAAATAATTTTTACGATTTTGAAAAATAATTCATAAATTACAAATGATAAAAAATGAAAATATATAAAAAAATAAATACCAGTGTCAGTATACAGTAGTTATTAAACAAAATAAGTTTTTCTTCTTCTCAGTTTCCGTCAAGCTCTGAAGAAGCCAACAAACAACAAACAAACGTCAGCAATTTCGACTAAGCAAAAACCGACGCAGGAGAAATCCAGAAGTTTTGTAAAAAGCAAATGTTATTTTTAATTCTTTTTTTCAAAATTCTGTTTCTTAACTTTTTCTTTTCCTTCAGAGTACATTGTGTATGTCTCAACGGGAAACTTGAGTTTATAGTGTAATTAGCATATTTTTAAGAAATGGGCGCTTGCGGTTATTTTAAATATTTAATTTAATTTAATAAATAATTACTTATTTTTATAACTTTAACTGTGTAATTTTATTTATAGAAAATGGAATGTTTAAGACATTTAGTGCTAATTGATAATTATTAATCTATGTTGATTAAAACATTACAATGCAAACCGGAAATTATTTTGAAATGTTTATTTAATAATTACATATCGGCATTTTTTAAATTTATCTTAAAGTGGCACTTTTCTATCAGTGCACAATTGGGTATTTTAGAGTAGAGAGCAAAAAAAATCTTTTATTTATTAATTGTTATTTCTTCTCATTGTGAATATATAACTTTTATTATTAAGACTTGCATTTCAAACAACTTCCCAAAAACTAACAGTAACAGCAAAGAGTGAAATAAGTCAAGATTGATTCCAATATTATACTATTTTGATGATTTTTAAAATTAAGAATAATTTAATGCCATCTTATCTGAATGACCATTTGATTACTCTATCAAAGAGGCTTTTGTATAATATTCACTGAAGAAATGATTTTGATATTCAATTCAAATTCCTGTCAGCTGAATTAAAGAATGCACAAAGCGTTAAATTACTTACAAAAAAATATGGTATTGATTAAATAAATTATTAAAAAAAAAATAAATAAATAAATAAGTGTTACAGTGTCCCTTATTTATTTTATAAATTTTGAGTTGTGAACAAAATTAAAATCGATTATCGATTGATTATCTGAGCTACTGATTAGATAAATAAATCTATTTTTTGGAGAGTTAATAAAATAATACAATATCTGGGAATTATACTCGGAATTATACCAAGAAAAATGAAGATGTTTTGAGACTGCCGCAGGGAAGTTAGGATTTAAGTTAAGATTAATAGGTTTGATTCCCCATTTATGGATATGGATAACTCTTGTACTATTGTACTATTTATTTTCTGTATTTTTACAACAGTAATTTATTTTGTTAATAAACGAAATATATATCTTGTATTATCGTTACTTCATTTATTGAAACCGTATTTGTATTTGAATTAATTATTTCTAAGTCGTTTAGGTATTATTAGAGAAATAACCAAAAAATGTGACAAAAAAAATGCATGAAATAAGTGAATTATTTATTAAATTTGAAAATATCTGGGGAAATATTAGTAAATTCGTGGGGAGGGAAACCCTTATGCTGGAATATTTATTATTTATTTCCCCCTCGATCTAGCATACTAGTGTAGTGGAGCCAGTTGTTAAGCTATCTTTTCAAGACTATCCATATACGAATTATCAGTACTTACTTTACTTTAAAAAGTATTTTCACCAAGTGAATTGTGTGTAAGCGTTTCTGAAATAGTTTTGAGAATATTCTTTGTCAACATATTATTAAGAATGGCGTAACTACATACATACGCAGCTTATAGTACTAGAGCATCGAAATCTCTGAAAAAAATATATTTGAGCAAAATGCGAATATTGATTTTTTTTTCTGGGCATCGTTTCGCCTTAGGTCTGAAAAAATTACGCCATCGCATATAAAATACTAGAATCTTGTACAATTTCAAAAAATGTCTAGGACCTCGTGTTAAATTTAGAAGCAATACTTTGCCTGCAATAACTGATGGCCTTGCGCAACATAATATACGTATTTTTAAAAATCTGCTCGCTAAAACCTGCCCTTCCGATTTCTCTGAAATTGTAACTTGATTCCACTCGCTCCCCCGGAAGTTATACTTCGCATTCTGGGTTTTGCAGAACCTGCAGATTTCGAAGCTAAATGGGAAATAAGTAATACAGGCTCTTTCATTACCGGAATACGTAAACTGTAGATATTACTGCTGGAATGCTGATTGCCGATCAATCACTGACCCAAATTTTAATTGCACAGTAAGTAAACACAAGGTGCTTAGAATCAAAATTAAATGTAAATAATCGTGAATAATTTTCTAAAAAACGGTTGCTTTAGGCTCAATTTTTGGTTTGACAAAAAAACCTATATTTGCATTTTCTATGGTTAGTTGCAGAATTTTCGCTATTCCTTCGAATAAATTGGCAAGTCAGAAAATAGATGAAAATGAATGATAAATATACAAAAAAAGAAATGTAACCTTTTAACAACCTTCCGGCTACTGGAGAATGTACCTATAAAGGATTGAATATGTAGCCATATCATCTAATTTTTTCTAAAAATTCAGAATACAGAAACAATAATTTGATTTGATTATTTGTCTTGACTTTTATTTGATTTGATTATTGTTGGATATTGACATTTTTGTGTCACAAAGCAAAAATATTTATTCAAGGAAACAGGAAGGCATAACCGAGTAAATAACTTAAATTTAATGACGTTTCCAGGTTTTCCAGGTTAGTTGAAACCTCGACGAACGGCACTATTAAAAGTAAGTTAAACGACGCATGTGTCAATAAGTCAAAACAACATCGATTGACATGTAATGCCGCAATAAATTCGGTCGAATGCAGTTTCTTCCATTTGAGCACAACGTTGCGAGTTATTGTTAGCGAAACTGGGTTTTCCTAGATTGAAAATTTTAAGTGTTTGATCACGGATAACGCGTTATCGCTGCTATATTTGAACGTTCGTTATCGTACCAATTAAAAAACACCTTACTCGACCGGTATTCTACGACGTAGTTTACAAAAAAGAAAACGCAAATACCGAACAAAAAATACTTTACGACAGCTTTTAAAATCCTAAAGTGGAAACATTGCTCTATGAAGCACAATCTCGTGATAAATCTTTAAACTGTATACGCACTACCGTTTCGTAATGTCGGTAATTGTTTTCAGTAAAGCTTAGAGAACTGTTAGGAATGGTGGCCTCATCTGTATTACCTTAAAATTTCTAAATTCCGCCATAAAAAGTGAGTAGAGAAAAATATGTACAATTATGGCCAGGAATCCGGTACTGGGTGATTAAAAATAAAATAAAATAATAAAAAATTACTTATTATATTTGTTCATATTACAATATATGCTTAAGGTCTAAACAGCAGCAGTATTAATAAAATGAAATTAAATACAAAACCAGACAAATGTTTTTGGTTTAGAAAATAAAATTGTACACAATCACCCAATCCGGTCCTGTGGCCTAACAATCTGACCCGGAAAACCTGTCGTCAACAGGTACAGGTAGGTACTCACTTTAAATAATACACCTGCCCTTCTGGGGTGCGTGCTTGTTCCCAACCTGGGGGCAGGGGTGTATTGTCTTCATTCTTACTGGCTACGTCGTATGATCGTTGTTTAATGTGATGATGTGTTGGGGCTTGTTGTTGCCCAACGGCGTATGTTTGTTGCAAAGATGCAGGCGAACTATGTGCCCTGTGATGAGCTGTCTGAAGAGGAACTGAATTTACAGGGCCAGAATTGCCATTGCCAAAGGCAGAATCGACGGAATTTTCACGAGAGTGGTTGATGGATTTAGACCCAGTTGACGGAGGATTAAAGAAAGAATCTGGGAGTTTTCGCATGCTCCATGGCACCTGTAGTGGTCTGTTAGAGTCCGGTTTTAAGACAGTGTCAAACAAAGCTTGGAGATCAGTTTCAGAATCCTGGTCCACTCTCAATACCTGTTTGGCCTCGTCCTGGTTGTGTGCCATATTCACAATTTCGTATTTCCGAATTTTTCACTCTCACTAGCACCACTAGACACACACCGACACTGACTATAACCGATATCAGTGTAGATTCCCCACGTTTTGGGGGACCTGCAGTGCGATTTAGTAGCCAGGTCAACCAAGTTCCCGTCCCCCCGTCAACAGAACAACGACAACAACCTTCTACCTGTCACTTGCTCTTCGAAGCACTAAGTGGTGCTGGCTGTTTTGTTCGGTTTGACATCCAAGAACGACTCTCGCACAATCGAAGTGCGCACAACATTCAACAAAAACAATCCGCACAAAAAGTAACGTGCAGCCTTTTCCTCTTGCCCTTAGATGTCGCCTATTTCAGTATGTTGTTAGTGTGTAAACTGTTTATAAAATATGCAACCAATCCGAGAATTTAAAAAGCGTCTAAATAGATATTAAATCTAACTCAGATCAGTACATTTGTTTGCAATGTACTTCTTACATATTTTCATAAGAAATTACAATTTTATAGGTCAGGTCGGAAAGCATTCGACGTCGCGCTGACGCTATATATGCAACCCACAATAAGGTAAAAGTAAAGAAAATGAACGAAATAAAAAACGTATTAATTTTCTTCGAAGCGAAGTTCATTCGCCTGTAATCTTTAATGATACTTATACAATAATTTGCATCTTGGTCTATTCAGAATTTTCAATCCAAAAGAAGAGTCATTGAACACTGACAATCAAAAGAAGAAAATCTTTGTGTTCTGTACCGCCAACGTGTAGTTTGTTTACTGCATCATCGTTCATGTGATTACGTGGATGCTTGGATAACTTAAAAGTGTTACTTGAAACGTCTTTTACCAGTTGTCACCCTCATTTGGCATTAAGTTTCTGTTGTGCGTGTGTGAATAAAATCCAAAGTATGTCCAAACAGCAAAATAAAGGATTTACGAAAGAAGAGGAGCTACTTCTTCAAGATTTCAGTAGAAATGTTTCGACTAAATCATCAGCTCTATTTTATGGGAACGCATTTATTGTATCCGCAATTCCAATATGGTTATTTTGGAGGATTCATATGATGGACATTTATGCTTCACTCATTCTGTTTGTGGGTGTGACTGTAGTGTCTACATATTTGTTAGCCATGGCCTATAGAAACACTAAATTTACTTTGAAACATAAAATTGCTGTGAAGAGAGAGGAAGCAGTTACCAGAGATTTGATGAAAAAACTTGCTGATGACAAGAAGATGAGCAAAAAGGAAAAGGATGAGAGAATATTGTGGCAGAAGAATGAAGTCGCAGATTTTGAAGCTACTACTTATTCCATTTTCCATAATAATGCTCTATTTTTAACAATAGTTATTTTTGCTAGTTTTTATTTTTTGCGTTCATTTTCTCCTGCTGTTAACTACACTTTGTCAATTGGCTCAGCTGCTGGGCTTTTAGCCCTTTTGTCAACGGGCTCTCAATAATATTTAGTGCATTCATTTGCTATGTAGATTTATAGAGGTATTTATGTTAAACCTGTTAAAACATAAGTTGTTCTCCTAATTTATTTGCATTTCATTTACTATTTTGTTAGCTTACATTTGATCAATAAAACAAATTTCAACTATACAGTCATTTTATTGTACAATCAAGTAACCAACTTATAACACTTTAAACTGCCATTTGAATAGCTTAAATCAGAAATTTTCAACTTGCCCACTGAAAATCAAATGCACAAAAGAAATTAACATTTCAATTGCATTAAGTGGAAACAACAAAAGATAAATAAATAAACAACCGAAACTGTTTAATCCAGTTCATCATCATGATCCATTCTATAAGGCCCAGGACAATTTTCTTTTAAATCCTCTATGTCTATTCCAGTTATAACACAGTAAAGACAGTACAAATGTTTACTTCTGATATAATCAATTAAAGCAAACAAATTTTCTTCTGTAACATACTGTTCAAATTCTTCATCTTCATCACTACTGTCTGTATCTTCACAAGTATGCTTTCCCATTTTTCTTCTCCTTTTTATTGTATCTTTAGTCCAAAAGAAATCTTCTATTGGATCTTTAATATTCTGAAACCAGGTACATATTTATACCACCAATACTGTATATCCATAGAAAATACTTACACTCCTGAAATCTAATTCCTCACAAACTTTTTGAGCCTTGAAGAAATCTCTGCGCATTTGACTCAAGTTTTTCCTTTCCTTATTAGCCAATCTATACTGGACCTCATAATGCTTCAAGTTTTTAACCTTCTGATGCTGCTTCCTTGTAAACATTTCCTTTATATGAGATTCTCTGCCTACTCCGGATGTACCTTGCTTCAAAACAATATCTATTGGTTCTTTGATACCACTTTTGGCTCTTCCTAAACTCTCCCCCGACTTGAAACCCATCTTTTCAAGCATCCGAAAACCCTTATTTTCAGAAGATAATGCTGTATTTAAACCCCTTTCTCTATTTTCTCTTTCTATTTCACCCAAAGTCTTTGGCCTTTTGCTTGAAGATTCGAATTTCTTTTTAAATAATTCGTGCTTGCGTTTTTCCCTGTTAACTAAGAGGCTTGGCCGCACATCGTCTTTGCTGAAAATGAGGAAAGTATTTATTTTTAAATTTGTTAAACATAGGAAAATTTTTACCAGTCAACCAACACCTTAAAAGACATGTAGTCATCTTCAGAATCGGACATTTTTTCAGTAATTTAAAATGGTTTAATCAAATTTGCAAGACATTTATTTACTAGAAATATTGTTCTTTCAATTTTAGATTAAACTGTCAGAAATAGGTAGTCAACAAAGATCACTTGCTTGGGGAGGCAATGCGGATTTTATGGTCAGTTTTTTTTTATACTCTATACAACAGTGAAATCACAGATCACAACTAATCTACTACTGTGGTAAAACTGCTAAGGGACAATTGATGCAAAATACGAAAAATTTCCTCAGTTAATTACAACTACCCATTAAACGTTTTGTTACTAAGCCACCCGCTTTCTTCCTATTTGGAAAATAGACAAAAAAAAACGAAAGAGAGAGATAGTGATTCGGAAAAGGAAATATAGGCTCTTTCATTTGCCCTATATATTCCAGCTATTTTCTTTCCTTTCTGTGGTGTTTTGGTGTTTTTTGGTGTTCGGGAATGTATGTCATGTGTGTTTTAATATTTATTTTGGAATGATTACTTTACTTCTACAGTTTATTAGCTCAAAAGACGACTATTTTATTTCTTTAAAAAAATGTTAAAGTTTGCATCTAAACATGACAGCAATATTGTTTATAAATGTACTGTGCGTCTATTGGAGGATACTGAAATACTGGAATGTGAATATAGGGTAAATAATTAGATATTAAATTTTTCTCAGTAATATGTTTTCATGATTTTAGCCGCACGATAAAGGGAAATATTTATTAGATTATGTTTGCCAGCAACTAAATCTTGTGGAACAGGATTACTTAGGTCTCCGATATGTGGACTGTCAAGCTCAGAGAGTAAGTTATAATTTTTGCCATAGGGATAAGCCTTAAGATTGTTATTTTAGCACTGGCTGGATCTAAGTAAATCGATATGCAAACAAGTTAAAGATATGGATCCTGTTTTATTTAGTTTTCGAGTAAAATTTTATCCACCAGACCCATTTAGACTAAAAGAGGAGATTACTAGATATCAAATTTTTCTTCAGTTAAAACGAGATTTATTGCACGGTAGACTATACTGCGGTACAAATGAGGCTGCTATGCTCTGCGCTTTAATTGTACAGGGTATTTAATTTCCATTATCTTGTTGGGTCGTGTACTATAGATGTTCAACCTTTCTAGGTGAATTAGGAGATTATGATCCAGAACTTCATGTGTCTAATTATATTTCGGACATGAAAATTTTGTTAAAACAAACTGAAGCAATTGAACAGAAAGCAATAGAAATACATAAGAAACAGTTAAAAGGACAAAGCCAGTCCCAAGTAGAGAATACATTCTTAAAGTTAGCTTGCCAGTTAGATACTTACGGGATTGATCCACATCCAGTTAAGGTAAGGTTGGAATAGGAGTGACTATAAAACTTTAAATTATTCCACCAATTGATGCTCTTTATTATCTTACCATGTTATGAAATTTTAAGATTTATGGTCCCTCCTATAAGATAATTTATGTCATTCCTGAAATAGGGTCTGTTGCAGGATCATAAAGGCACTCAGCTTTATTTAGGAATTAATTATAGCGGAATTTTAACATTCCAGGGGAGCAGGAAAACGCACCACTTTAGGTGGCCAGATATACAAAAAATTAATTATGAAGGAAAGATGTTTATTATACATTTAAATTATAACGATGTAAGTTTAAATAAAAATAAAAGCTCCTGTTTGTAGGTATAGCAGGTATGAATATTGATTATTAGTTGTGATTATGTGCTATTTACTTAAATTAAAGTTGAACTTAAATCTGTTGCTAGATGGAGAGATCAATATTTGTTGCCTGTATTTGTGTGTTTTTATGTATATATTGTTCTTTCTCTGGTAACCTTTGTTAAATTATTTTTAAGTGTTTGTTATTTTTTTTTTAACAGAAGAAGCATACCGTTGGTTTTAAGTGTCCAACTGGAGCAGCTTGTAGACACATATGGAGATGTGCTATCGAGCAAATGCTCTTTTTTACGTAAGTTCTCATTAGTAAATTGTAGGTTTTAATTAAGGGATATCACATATTGTTGGATGTGCATTTTTTTTTCCGCAATTGTAATGAATTTCATGGGAGATATCCGGTAATTAATGTTGCATAGCACTATTTGAAACTTTTATAAGAGCAATATAAAAAACCAGACTAAACGTAATATTAAGTTCTACAATCTTATATATATTTTTATGTTTATAGATATAAGAAAGTGACCAATTGCTTTTGAATGGATTATCCAAGGGTGGTCATTAACATACAATGCAACAAGATTATTACCTTAATTAATGTTTAAAATTAATTATTTACCTTAATTATTAATAATAATCTTGTTGCATTGTATGTGAATGACCACCCTTGGATAATCCGTTCAAGAGCAATTGGTGTCTTTCTTATATCTATGAACAGATCATACCAAATTTATGAAAAAAACAAAGGCGTATTACTTTTTTTAAACTCAACTGCCATATCTGCGCTAATGATTACTTTTAGTTGTGGATTGTATTTTTTTTAATTTAAATTTGACCTAAACTTTTTTTGTGGATTTTAAAGAAGTGCTTGTGGGAAGTTCGATAAAGGACAATAATGGTGTCACTGTGTGCCAATAATTAACGGACGTCCCATGTTTGCCCTGAATGATTCCGGCACAAAATATTTTATGTATTACCGTTATTTTTTGCTTTAAGTGTTTGCACCCTCGCACCAAGCTCGTAGTAGGATGGCACAAAATAAATAATATTGTTAATACAGTTTGCCAACTAGTTCCGATGCTCCTTCTGTGGTAACCGGAGGTGGATTGTTCTCCTGGGGAACAAAGTTCAAGTATACTGGAAGGACTGAAAAAGAAATATTGGGTGATACCGGGTCACCCAGTAGAAAAGAACCATCAATACAACGTTCATCTAGTGTTAGACGGAAAGCTTCGAGCGTTCCTGCTACTCCCTCTACACCTCTACAGCCTCATTTAGGTTGTTATTGTTCTGGGCATAGCGGGAATTTCAATTTATTCATTTTTTTACATTCATTAGGGTATAGTAGCTTACCGCGTTCGAGTCACTCTGACGTCGGCGGTTCCCGCATGGAATGTAGTAGTAGTACGGGATTGTTGTCTGGCTTAGATGGTAATCCTGCCCAAGCTTATAGTGATGTTGCTGCCTTAGAAACTGTATGTGAGGATCCAGAAGCAATAGGAAGCAAAAGGTTACGAACTACAGGTAAATTGCGGCTCATTCGTTCAGGTTTAGTCAGCGTCTCCATTTTTTTTTCAGTACTTAAAGATGATTCCAGTGATAGATTTAGTGATTATTATTTCCGCGATTCGTTTGAACATTCCTCTTCCGACTCTCAAATAATTGATAACACTTATCGATACGATACTTCGAATCCATCGCATCGTTCTAGTCGTAGTCAAACTCCGTTGTCTCATTCTCAAGTAGATGGGCGTGTCGCAAGTTCGTACAACGCCACGCCAAATGTTCAGCAACAAAATTTTGCCAAAAAAAAGAGATTTAATGTAATCCGTGCGTTCGTGCCCACTTTAGTAACGGTTACTCTGTTTGTGCTTTTAGCCACGATTCTAATGTTAGAAACTGACTTGTCTATTTTTGGCAGTATCAACAGCATTCCGGAAATCGTTGCTTTGAAGTATCATATATACGAGCCGATTAAAACCTACGTTAAAAGTAAAATGTCATTTTTGTTTTAATATTGCTGTCGATATTGCTTTCATTTTTCCATCGTTTATATGAATGTAGAATTTGATCGAGAAATGTTGTAAATCGTTACTCCAGTCGTAGCAGATTAATATTTAGCATAATCCACAACGAATTAAAAAAATTCCAATTAAATGCCTTCGCGCTTGCCGAGTTATTTTCGTCGCTTTGATTTTGTTTATATAAACAGTATAGCCCAGATATGGATGCATACAATATGAGAATTGGCGAAAATTTTTTAAATAAAAATTGGAACATAGGTTTGTTCTTGGCTCGAAATGAAAAATATTCTCGCTCTACTTCGTTTTAATTGAAACCAATTAAAAAAGTTTTTATTGCAAAGTTATTTTAAAATGAACTTAGCGAAAAACGGATGATGTACCCTATCAATTTTTTTCCCCAAATTTTTCACTGCACTACAAATTAACATTTTTGGAATCATTTTTTTATGTTTATATATTCATTTTTTATATTTAACAAAATAGTTCAATGCACCGTTTTGTTAACAAATTTATTACTTCATCTTAAAAATGGAGAAAAATTGGGGGAAAAAAGTTTGGAATCTTTCTAGAATCCGAAAACGAGCTTTTGGAAGAAATTGATAAAGGGATTGGGTAACCATTTACTTAACATGCAATCATTTAAGGGTTAGTTTTAGTTTGAGCTGAATTGCTTGAGATTTACTCAGTATAATATAGTTCTTGTTACCATTTCGAATAATCTAGCTTTGTGTCTTGTAGTTTCCCAACATAATTTATTTATATATTTTTTATTTATTTATTATTTATCACACTTTAAAGCTGCGTTTTAGTGGTATTTTCGCCCGATTATTAGGTATTCCATTGTTTTTTATAAAATAGTTTGCAAAACTTTTTTTGCACGCTGTCGAAGTTAATGAAACACCGAGCAAATTAGGTAGCAAGTTTTTTTCAAAATTCACCCGTCAACGATTAAATGGTATGCGAGAAACTCCTTCATCAGTAGTTTATATGTAGACAAAAGATCGCCATTTTTTAAGAGCTTCAAGAAACTAACGTTATTCTTTGAGTAAACTGTGTTTTTGGCCCGTTTGAAATGGAAATTTTTTTTTTCGACCAAGATAGTTAAACAATTTAAACAGTTAGCTAGATATAGCAATATACTCGGATTTCATCGCATATAAATTAGCTCTGAAAACCACTTTTGAAAGATGGGATTGATATGTCCATTACACCAAACCTTCAAATGCCATTGTTCCTAGTCAGTGGCTTGCTTCAATTTTCTCCGTTTTTCAGTAGTATTGTTGCCCTCTATTTTTTTAGTCTGCTGATCAGCGAGCTTCTAGGGGATTATTTATCTGCAATCATGTTGTTTGCTTTGTTTAGATTTATTATTCGGATCTCAATGAAAATTTGAAGAATAAACCTTTTTTTTATTATTTGATGTGTATAATTAAAAAATCTGTGATCTTTTTCCAATCTTCTGCTTTAGGAATAGTTTTAAAGATGTACAAATGAAATAGACTCCTTAATCAAAAACGTACTATATTTTTTATTTCGGCTTAAATAGTAGTTTCCGATAAAATCTGGAAAGTATGAATGCAAAGCTTTTTGACATTCCGTTTCGAATTTGTTTTTTTATTGCCGCACAATAAGAAATCAAAATATTTTTTATAATTGTAATAATTTAAGGGGCCATAAAATTATACTCCATAAGATATTTTTCTTCCACATTTAACCGAGAAGCTATATTTTATACACGCCAGATGACATAGTATTTATTAAATAAATAAGTCCATATATTGGTGGGGAAGAATAAACATTTATATCTTGTGGTGTTATTTTTATTAACAGTTATCACAATACCTGGTTTTAGCATTTAAGAAAATATTTGTTTTTGTAATGATTTTCTACAGAATGTAACTTTTTGCCAAATAAAAATCTAAGTCAATTATAAATACATTATTTATTTGATAAACCTATAAAACACAGAAATTATATTTAGGCAACTATGTAACTATGATTTATGTTTATAAAATGATTGGTTGTTTTCAGTTCTTCTAAAGCGGAAAACGCTTAATGTAGACCTGATTGCCACATTTTGCTAAATAAAAATCAATCACATAGAAATGAATATTACATTAATTAAATAATTTTAGTACTCATATATTTTATTCAAAACTTCAAATATTTAATGCACAGTATTACTGGTTGCCTATCATTAAAGCCAAGTGGTGTTTCTCTTCAGTATATTTCAAATTTAATTGGGTAAAAATTAAAAGTTAAGTTTTGGATGGTAAGTAGAGGTATCTATTATAGACTGCATTATTTTTATTATTCTACCAGCCAGTATATAATTTTTATCGCTTTGAAAATTAATTATTGATATTATGATTTTGTTTTTAAAACAATAAACAACAAATGCTTCCATTTTTTAAAATTCAAACTGAATTTACTAGTTCCATTCAATTTGTAAAAAGTTAATAATCTTTTAGTTGGCGCGTTTCAATAACTTAGCAAGAAATTCTATGGGGTGCTGTCATCTGGTGGCGCAAATTGAAAAACAAGAGAAGTTGTGTAGCTGGTTGTGTTCCGTGTCGGTAGTCAAGTCAAAATCATAGCTGCATTGATGTTATTTGAGCTCGGATATTTTGTTAGTATAAGACACTCCCAGCGATTTTTCAAAAATAATTAAAGTTTTTGACAGAAGTTTGAGTAAACATTTAGTGAAATTTATAGATTAGTGTTCGCGTAATTGCCGAGCAGACAAAGAATTCTTGTTAAATGCATTCTTCATAGTTCGTTTCAAAATGGAGTAGAACATTTTTGTTGTTATTCTCAAGGAAACACGAGAACAACGTGCTTGGATATTGATAGTTTGTAATTTGAAACGATGGACCTTTGTCCTGTGTAGTCCTCAAAACAAACAATGGTATAATCGTATTAACTGTGTTTGTGTAAAATTTCGCGAAAGATTTTGTACCAAGTGAATATTCTTGGATGCTGCAGGATCTATGTTTGACCTTTGTGCATTCAAGATTCTTTCGACAAGAACCCTATTATCCATGTGAGGTAAGATATGCCGTTAAATGTCCTTTACAGGATTATTCGTGGCAAATTGTTAGTTGGAAAGCTTTCTACAGCAGAAGCGAGTTGTTTATTTATTTACATTATAATCCTACCTGTGTGATGATAACTTACGGTTGTTTAATTAAAGTAGAATTTGCTTTGCGGCTTTGCGAGGGTTGTTAATAACACACCGTAAAATTTTGTTATTTGTGGGCGAAATAAAGGGTGATAAGGATTACTTTCCTGTCTCTTATATTATTACTTAATTTAGTGCATAATCTTCAATTTATGAAAATTAGCGCTGTTTTATACCGAAATGGTTTAATTTTTTGCATGTTTGTAATATGTTGTAAACTATTATTATTAGAATTGGACATCAAAAACCGTTACAATATAAATTTTCTCCCGAACTTCGTTTCCCATGCATCTCTAAACTTCCTGATATGTACATCTTTCCGTACATCTTAAATCTTTTATATAGCTCGGCATTTCGAATAAAAGCATTTTTCACATAAATATTTTAGTAAATCCTGTTTCCGTAACCTTATAGCATTTTTATACAATAATTCCCCAGATAATTCTACATTCAACACTCAAGTTTCGGAAAGTTTTGCTCCTTCTGCGCCATTGGAAAGCCCCAGTTTTAAAATTGATTATAAAAGTTGTAAGAAAACTTTCGGCGTATTCGACTCCAAATCTGTATTGTAGGCGATCGAGATTAAGTAAGTATTGATGTCTAGCGATATGAATTTTTACAGGCACCCGTAGACGAGACTAAATTTATTTTTCTCTTTCTTTTTAACTTATTCGTTTTGTTTTCAAAAGAGCCCTTTGTGGAGATAAATGGACTGTATCAAAAAAGTTTAAGCAGAGAGTTTTAACTCCTTACCTTGATATTTTCCGTTTCTGCTTCTTGGTGCTTAGGATGGATACGCCTGGCCCATAATGTTTAACCAGGGAAAAAGGCGGTAAAAACTTTCAGCAATGCACGCGGTGAGTCAATTGCAAATAAATAAAATGAAATTAGGTTTCCCTAATGTTAAAAAACTTAAATGTGTCTTGTGAAATGATTGTTCCTGATATCTTTTTGTACTACTGCATTTCACACGTGAAGTTTTGTTCTATACCATAAATCTTCTATAATTTCGAATTAGGTTCTTTGCAATCTGCTGGTGCTCATATACGTACTTAGAATCATTAACAGAAAAGTGTGGTTATTTTTGTTGCTATTTCATGATGTCAAATGTCATGTTTAGAAAGACGTATTTTTGGAAGTCGTTCCTTCTTAAAGTTAGCTATAAATAAGACCGGATACGAATGACGTTTTTCATAACTTGATTTGATTAATTGCATTTGGGTAATGGCTGGAGCAGTTTCTATTAATATTGATTATGTTTGTTGGATCGTTTGGGAGTTTTTGGTAATAAACTATGATCGTTAAAAGTTTCGATGGCAATGTTGGACGTTGCGCATTGTAATTAAATATGGATGATTAAATACTTGTTATAATATTGGATGTGGCCTTGTCCTTCAGATAACCACCCGTAAGATTAACTCATAAAGGGCCGGGAGGTAACGGACAATTAATAAATGTTCTAGGTGGTGGGCATAATTGAGTGTTAAACTAGGTATGAATAGTTTATAGTTTAACGGGTTTATGAGATACATACAATCCGGCTAAGTATTTGAATCGCTAGATAGGGAAATACAGCCTTTTATGATTTGCCTGTCAATTTTCCGTTTAATTAACAAGGGTTGTAGAATATTAATTTAGATCCGATCGTTTTACGTAACACATCGGGATTAGGTATAGGAATAAGTTAGTCGCTATTAAATCAATGCTGGGAAAGTCAATTTAAATTATCGAAAAGTCAGGCAATTTAATTACCCCAACTTTTATGTTGTAGTTGTCTTAAAAAACAACACAATTTAAAGGGTCGGCATTTCCAACAATTTGCAAAAGTCGCAGATTGTTATTGGAAAAATTTATTGTGGACCAAATTCTTTAAATTGTTTAGAGAGTTTTTGGAAGAATTAGTTCGCCTTCCAAGGTTGGTCGTTCAAGATAGTTGATGTAAATTGGAATTTTGATTAAAAAAATTGAGGTTTTTTAAAAAAAATCCTATTGATTTGAAATAAATAAGAAATAGAAGTTCAGATTTTCACGAAATTATATATTTTCACATCACTATCGAGGTTGAACAGGATACTCAATTAATTTTTTAGACTTAACTATTACGAAAGCGCAAAACCAATCAAAATTTTCAGTATATCATAAACCTTCACACACGGACACAGTCATACATAACAGCTCAAATCACCATTATACACACAAAATGGTTACATTTCACTCTTTTATACACGGACTTCTTAATACTCCACTCTCAACAGAAAACTACAACAAAGAACTAATATCATTAAACAAATTGCACTGAACAACGGCCATACTCCGTCCAATAACGATAAAATTATAAATAAAAAACAAATCCAGGTAGATCCTTCAAGAAACGCATTAACGAACATAAAAGAGCGTTTACAAACAATAGTCTAGGTTCTAATTATGCTACATCCTTAAACGAAGAAAAACACATTTTTGACTACAATTTTGATATTTTACACACAGCCACAAAAAGTAGAAAATTAAATTTATTGGAAGTCATGAAGATTAACAAAATGAGACATTCAAATGTATTGCTTAACGATCGATTAGATTTAAATACCTCTCCAATACTAAACTTAAATTCTCACAACATTAATTAAGGTTTTATTGTCATTTTTCGATATATATAGTAGCAGGTAGTTTGTAAATATTACATTTGATAAAGACGCTGTGTGTGAATATATATAATTTCGTGAAAATCTGAACTTTTAGTTCTTATTTATTTTGTTAAAACGGATTTTCATCGAGTAAAACCATCTCAGTTCAATTTTTGATTTGATACAAAGAAAACTAAGTTCGTTTTCGTTTGATCCACATGGTAAGCTGGGTGGCCAGTATTTTGACAGAGATTTTATTGTAGCGGCTACCTTAAATACAGCCTAACAACGTTCGTTTCCGAACGTTCAGGTATAAAACGGGCTGTTACAATTTCCTTTGTTCGTCCCGCCAAACAATGTCTAATTGAACCTTTCCACGTTCGAAATATGAACTTGTGTGGGCGATTATGGTCCTTTAAGCATGCTTTGTATTGCGGAGCTTTTATGTTGATAAATATGTTTGAGCAGTTTGGTTTGCCCTTTATTGGCAAAATATCTCGTCATAGAACGCTTTATTATTTATTTGCGGCAAATATAGTGTAGTTTAAGTGAACTTTCATCAATTCTCTCGCCATTTTTGAATTTTGATAATATGATTCAATCTAGTTCGACTTATGATTTTAAAAACAAAAATAAAATACACAACAGGATAATTGGCGAAACTTCAGCAAATTCGGAAGATCCGGAAGTTCCACAAGATTTGGAAATAGTATTCCAGTAGCTCGTGGAAGTTTCTTTGAAATATGTAACTGCTTTTAAATGCTACAAGGAAGTACGTAAAAAAACTCAGCATAAATTTTATTATTTCCTTGAATATGTGTATAATTGGTATTATTATTCAGTTTTCACGGCTGAAGCGAATAAATAAATAAACAGTCACTTTAAAAATTCTAGTGGAAAATTTTGAATGTATTATATGATATTATAGGCTTCTGTGCCGGTGCTACAGACTATACTGTATTTGAGGTAGCCAGGCATATGTCCTATATCAGGATTTTGCTATTCTGATCCTTACAGGGTGTAGGTGTTGGTTCTTTGGCCTCCAGGTGGTGTGAATTGACGAGGAATAGTCAACATCGGCCGTATTTTGCAGACTACAGATTAGAATTTGGGAGAGTTAGCTTTTAGCGACCATCCAAAACGATCTATGGTACAACTCAGCTTCCATAATGATTCCTTGGTGTAAGCTCCTTGCTTCTGGTACAACGCGTGTATGGTTGGTAGAATTTGCACTTTTTTCTTTTACCTCCACTAGATACTGCAGTGAACCAAGCATTATTCTCACGACATTTTTTTTGAGGATTCCTTGGTCTATCTTTTTCCTGGCGTGTCTCTCTCCATCTTCTTGATTACGATTTTCGAGGAGCGTTAAGGCGATTTTAACTACTTCAGTACTGTCTAGCTGCCCGTAGGTGTATTGAATCTCTTTTGTGTTTGTTCCGCCAGGAATATTCTGAGTTAGGTATAAAAGACAGTCTTGGTGACCGCAAAATATATCTTGTATTTAAACACGAAATATGAATTTATTAATCGAGATCGTAGGATTTTATTGAAATTTTATCGACAGAGAAAACTTCATCCAGAATAAATCTCAATTTGCTTTAGAAACTTAATATCGGAAGTTGCTTTGGCCACGAATTGATTTTGTAAAAATCCATCTTGAAACCAACTTTGGTTTCATCGGACTCATACAAATATTGGGGGGTGGGGGGCGTTTGATGGGACCTCATCGATTTTGCGTGAAATTTATTATTATGAAAAAGCACTAGCCCCAGGTAATTGACAAAGTGGACAAACAATCCACCGTCAATATTTATACGTTCCTCTCTATCGATGTTTCACTTTATTGGTAAACTTTTTCACCCACGCGAGATCATATTTTACTCGAATATTAGGCTTATAGAAATAAATGGTATTCTGAAAATAGATTGAAAAATGATATTCCGGAATCTTATGTAATAAGGCCGTCAAAAAAATCATAGAATCGGGCAAAGTCTATTTTTATAAAATTGAGCATATACCGCTTGTGTATCTTATGTACTAGGTGCGATTTTTAAAAATAATAGTAAGGTTTGTGCCAGAGATGGAGAAAGAGAACGGGTGGAGGTTGGTAAGCAAACAATAAGAAATTGAAGACTTGGCCGAAAAGGACATTTCTTTCTGATAAACTTCTGAAATTGTTGTAACTTCTCTAACACCATTTCAGGAAAGCAGAAGGCATGTCTTCCTCGACAGAAGTTACATGA